GTGCCCCCCTCCCCTTTCATAGCCAGGGCCAGTAGCAGCGGGTTTTTGTCTTTTTGCTTTGGAGTGGTCCCATGTTCTTTGTTCGCCCGGGGGCATGGGGATTAATTGGTAGGCTAAACGGGAAAGCCAACCCTAAAAATGGGACAATTACGCCCCCTTACACGTCTTTTGTGCTCCCTTGGATGGATATATCAATCTTCACCGGGTGCCTGTCAGCGCCTCAACGGCCGCCCCCTCCACCAACTCCTCCAGCCTGGGGTATTTGTGTTCTTCTTCGACTCCTTTTTTTCTCACCGTAAGCACAGGAGCCTATCGGGTATGGGGCCAGCGGATGATGCTGCGCCTTCCGGGGAAGCGGATCGTGAGGACTGGGCTGCCCCCGCGAGGTCATTCTAGACTGTAGACGCTGCCAGCGATGTGCCGGTCCCATCGTCACTGCAAGTAGGGTCCGTAATCTATTCCCGCCGTACCCATGACTTGACCCAAAAGAAGTGGAAGGGGGATAAAGGAGTTAGGAAAAGCGCGCCAGACACCCCCACCTGGTTCCGGGAGAGAAATAAAAGAATAGGTGCCTATTCTTTGCCCGAGTACCGCCCTACGCTCACCACACACCCCCAGAACCCCTTGTGAACAGGACACAAAAACGATGAATGATGATATCGTACACTTCGCGAATCAGACGAACCACTCCCGTAAACCCCCGTACCATCCTCCTTCTTCAAGGTGTCCGTCCTTTCGACGCAGCCCTGGAGGTCTGACGACGTTTTCTTCTTCGCTACTGGTGGGAAGATGAACCGATCCGGCAGCTCGATGGCGGTGAGACACTGTCTCTCTCCCTCACCACTACGTAGATGGCGGTTTGGCGCTGATATCCGAGATGAGAAGCAGGCAAGGGGAAGCGCAGAGCAGTCAGACGGGGAAATGGGGCGGAAGAGAGAGGGATGGGCTGGAGGATCAGCTCGTAGTACGAATGTTCAGCCGCTGACTATTGTGGACCTTTTTTCTTCCTCTTCTTCTTCTACCTCGTGAAGCACGAGGAGTGGTACGATGGCGTACGAGGAGAGCACGTTTGTCTTTGGGCCCCCCCCTTCCTCGCTCCCAAGCCAAAAAGATATTGTATGAGGCAAGAGGAGCGTCACGCTTCATCCTCCTGTGTCCCCGTTCTCCATGCGTAATAGGAGTGATCGGGCCGGGTGCTGACGAACCCGCGCCATCGGAATCCCAATAGCCACCTTCCTTCTACATTCCCCCTCTCCCCTCGGTCCTCCTCGAGATCCCACGTGCCTCTGGTCGTAGACCCACGCATGCAGGCGTGTGCAGGTCTAATCTGCGAACGAGGCCGTATTGAAAAGGAATCAAAGGGGGAGGGGAGTGGGGAATGGGCGCACTCGCTGAGGTGGGGGAGCGCATACACGACAAGCCTCTGGGTTCGTGATCGTGGGACGAAGAGCATCCGGCCCCGAGACAATATGAGGCAGAAAAAAAAGGGCGGGAGATGGAGAGGGAAACAGTGATCACGAGAAGGAGAGGTTTGCGGGCTTTGGGATTTGGGGGTTTCGCGTGGGCTGTAGCGGGGAGGGTGGGTGGACGGTTCAGCTAGAGAGCCCCGAGCCGTGTAGAGAGGCATGAGAGCTCTCGGGTCTATCATCTGGTCGCGTGCGAGATGTTGCTTGGCCGCATTATCATGGCACGCCTCCCCACCACTGCCGAGATTTATATTTTTTTCCCTTCCCGTCCTCAACTACTACCTACCTAATTCGAGCTGGAGCTCTCGTGAGAGCACAGGCGGAACGGAGACCCCTAGAAAAAAACTGAAATGAAGAAAGAAACCCCCACAGAGGAAAACAGATGACCGCTTCCCGGCCCCGATTTCCTCCTCCCACACGGCCGCTTCAGCACGGGTTAGCTCCGGTGCGGACCGCAGGTGGGGCAGGTGCGGGGTCAGGCGGGAACTAGCGCCGTCGGGGCCTGTGAGAAGCGGAGGATCGCTTTGGTCTTGGCCGGAAGAGGGGGAGGGGTCCGGGTGTATGAACCTTCTCGTTGGGCCCGGACGGGCCTAGGAGAGCGGGGTCGGGCACGGTTATTTAGGACGGCTGCCGCTCGGTGCTACGGACTCTGGGGCCCGTCTTTCGGAGTAAATGTGGGAGAGAGAGAGGAGGAAACGGAGAGCCTGTGAGTCTCAACCAAGTTTGATGGAAACGGTCCCACTGGCTAATACAATCTACGCTTAGAGGCTCCCTAAACCCTCCTTTGGAGGTATAACAGCTTTTCACGCCCGCAGCGCGAACCAACTAACCTCTCCACCTCGATCTGGAGATGTTGCAATATGAGAGAAATCAAGATCTACAACACCCAACGTTGGCTTCAGAGCGCGCTGTGGTCCTCAAGAAACAAGACGTATAGGTTCAAGGCGTGGAAATAGACAACATCGCCACGGATTCCGCAGACCAGTAGATCACCCGAAGCGGGAGGGCGTCCGATAAAAAAACACCACCCGCCAGGTAAGCCTCTCATCAAAGCTTCATCGGCCTCTACTTTGCGGCCGCGCTCCATTCCCACGATTTGAGCAAACCACTCGGGAAGAGGGCATTACCAGCCTTAACCGACACGCCCGCTTCCGATCCGGAGGGTCGACATCTCTGGATCCCCTCAGCGTCACGGTCGCATCCGTTCCTCGCTCGCTGACCACTGCCAACAATGAATCATCGTACTACGAGCCAACGACAGCACGCATAATAGTCATCTGGTCTTTTTTTTTTTTTTTTGAGGGGTTTTGCTTTCCATGGTTTTCTACCGCGCAGGCGGGCCGAATGAGCGATAGTTGGTAAGCTCATACAAAGATATAACTGCAAGAAAGGCCCTTCCGACGTCGGCAGCGGGGCGTGCAGACATTGATACCCGGATGCGGCGATGGGGTGAGAAATCGACCCAAACTATGCCGGCATGGCTTACCCTCCAAGACGCATTTAGCTCTTCTCTTTTCTGTTTCTTTCTTCCCTGCTGTTTTATCTACGCTATGGCTTCATCCGCAGTGTCTTTTTCTGGAAAAGGAGGGGAGTGGTGCAACCAAACTTGGTCATCAGGGAGGCCAACTGTTTGGTTGTGGCTTTCCCGTCGGTTCGGTTGCGACGTCAAAACAAGTCCGTCCACCGATATCTCGCCGAGCCTGGCCTCGAAACCAAAAAATGGAAGCATGACATGATGAGATCTTTTCTCGTCGCGCCGCACACTTGCAGGACGGGGAAGAAAAAAAGATGAGAAGAGATAAAAAGACTAAACCCGCAGTCCAGAATGGGACATTTCTCGCGCGCCGTTCCGATCCCTGACTCCCGCTTATCGCTCGGCTCACCGGGTGGTCTTGACTGCGTTTTGCGTGGCGGGCTGGGCCAAATCGGGCTGATCGACGTTGCATCAACGTGGGCGCATCATTGTGGGCGCGTGGGCAGCGGGCCGGGGATGGGGATGTGTGTTTGTCATGTATGTGTGTGTGCCAGAAAATGAGTCGCAGGTATGATGGGCATACCTCGGTGTGCATGGCTTTGATGTGATGGCCTGAGAGGAGAGAATAAGAGGACGTTTAGAAGAGAGATAAAGAGGTGACGGCGGATTATTCTCCGTTACCGGACTCTGCACATTGGGTTCTGAGATGTGATTTCTCTTGAGAGGGGAGGGAGGCTTCGGGAGTTGTGACGCGTACGTGTGATGGAATTTCAGGGGCGCGCCTCATCACGTCTGGGCTGTTTCCTGAATCACTTATTGACGAAAGGGGAAGGGTCTAGTAGTGAGTTGGTGATAGCAGTACGCTCAAGTTTATGCAATCATCTTTTGGCACGAGAGCTGGCTGGTTCGATGGAATGCCATCTGCCACCACTTTCGGGGATGAATTGGCCCGTCGGCGGGCATGATGGGCGGAAGCGCCGGCCGTTCGCTACCAAAGAAAACGGCATCCGAGATGGCGTCCCGGGGTTTCTTGCAGCGACAGGTATGCATTATTTAAGATTTGGATCTATTATTCAATCTCAAATATCCACGATCTTGGGTTCTGCTCATTTCCCCCGTTAATCTCCTCCCCGCCCGCCGCCGCCTCCCAGGTCCTTCGTCGGGAACCGTCTTTCTTTGGTCTCCGCTCCTCCGGCGGCCCGTTCAGATAACCGAGGCCACCGACTGGAGTCAAAGGTGACCCGTGTGATGAAGCCAAACGAGAGAAAAAAAGTCTGGTAGTTTCGTTTCCCTTTGGGAAGTGTGCCGGGCGATGCTAGGGGAGGCGTGATATAGGCCGGGCGTGATGCGACGTCGCCGTGTCTGGGTCATCGTGGACGTGTGTGCGTGTCTGTGCAGGAGGCAGTAACGGGGTGATCCAAAGTCAAACATGAGGGAAGAGGCTCAAGGTCCCAATCCAGCCCTGTGCGTGATGCGCGCAATCGAGGCGTGCAATAGAGGCGTGGGCGTTGTCTTTTGTGATATTTCTATTTTCTCTCCCTTCATCCCTCCTCTGGCCTGTCCATGAGGGTATTTCAAATATCTCGAGGCTGCGAGAATGGACGAAAGAGGAAGTCATAGCCCGGGAACTGACCCGGACAACCAAGTCGAATGCATTAAAGTCTACTCCCCTCGTCCGAGGGGCGACGAAGCGCGCGTGCGAGTGTGTGAAGCGGAGCCGGGCAAGGACAAGGGCGCGACTGCGGAGTGCGTGGTTTCCAAAAATGCCTCCGTGCTGGATGTTTCATCATATGGGGAAGCATCAAAGGTTTAGAAGGATTCATTATACACCAGCCAGCACTCTCTCCATCATGCCATGTTTGCTCTCCATCTCTGGATCCACTCAATTCGCCCGACTGACGGCCAGCGATCGGTGATGGCAACGCACGCGGAGGTAGATGTGATCAAGTCTCTTTGTCTAAGCTTTGGCATCTCACGGCCCCCCTTTTCACTCCCCGTTTCTATTGCGACTTGGTGATCCATCGATGAGTGGAGCAGTAAGACGCCGGGGCGTTTGGACTTCATAATTGAGGTGTCGTCGCGATCTCCAGGGTCTTGTCGAGGGCGCAAACGCGGGAGTGGGAAGGCCCGACGCGAGAGCGGATGAACTTTGGGGCGGCCATCATGCGAAATGCCTCGTCTGGCGTCTTGGACGTCGAGAGAACCTCCACACCTCCAAATAATTGCATGTTTGACAGACCCATCTGGTTTTGCTTACGATCCTCCAGTCCAAGAGCAACACCGTCTCCACCGACCCATTGCTTCTGCCGTTTCAGCAAAGTCGGGCGTTAGCTCGGTCCTGCCTCTGGACTTTTGGTGCAGATGGAGAAAATTATAGTGAATGGATGGATCCACGAACATGGGAGTGCTCTGGCGTGTCCGTTAGAATCTCACCAGGGCCCTTGATGTCCTTTCCATCATCTACTTGTAAGCTACTCCCAAACACTCCGCTCCTCTCATGAGTATACCGGCGGCAAATCTATTAGCCATGCTCCCTCTTTATGCATGCCTAATTGCGCACTCATCTGCCGGCCTGCTGGAACTACGAGGACATGATGTACAAGCATCGATGCTTGGTCTTGGAGTCGTGCCCGATGTGCGTGGGGCCGAATCCCCTGAACAGCTGTCTCGCAGCAATCCTCGAGGATCTTTCTTCGATCTAGCGCAAGCACGGAGATTTTTATTTCCTCTTTGCCCTTCCTGCCTTCTTACCTTCTTGACTCTTGCACGCACACCCATCCATCTCGAGATTACGACCGACGACGGCCCTGATCAAGGCTCCATCAGTTGTGGATCGAATGCCGGCGACCCCAAAGGGAAACATGACGTCCGTTCTGGAAGGTGAAGAAGCCCATTGCCCCCGCTAGCAAAATTACGAAAGAACATTTGAAGAGTGTTATCGGCCCCACACTGCATCAACCCAGGATCTCGTGACATGGCCATTGTCGACAGGCTTCAATGTTCCTCCTTCTCCCTCGGCCATTTCCTCTTTCGCTCTGGCGCGCTAGGCTAGGAAGCAGCCCGTGAACTATGACAATAGCCCCCCCGACCGTGAGAGAGATGGAGGGTGTGCCGATTGAGAAGAACAAAATCAAAATCTCCACACATGTGGCGCGGCCACGAGTCCCGGGCCTGATGCGAAACTCTTTGCAGCTTTTTTACGAGAGTTGAGCTGAGACACGCCGTCGGGTTCTCTCGAGCATGAGCCACAGGAGAGGGTGTGATGGGGAGGAGCCGGTCAACCACCGGCGTCAATACTGGCTTCAGGGCGTGGCCGTCGTCGCCTCGCCAAGAGACGGCACAAAAGACGGAGGAGAGCGCCATGGAGCGCCAGGCTCGTGAGTGGTGCATCTGCCTCCTTTTTTCAATGGAACATGCAATCCGTTTATGGATTGATCTTGATGGAGGCCCGGGGCACTGGCCGGGCTCGCCACGTTCAAATGTACGCCATTTTGCTTTTTCCTTCCATCTCTTCAGGCCTGAGCTAGACTACATCTACGTTGTTTGACGAAACTAGTGGTGCCTCTTGTTCCAACTTTATTGAACAAGAGTGACGCCAGTGCGTTTTAGTGTGCAACCACCTCATGGCAAGCTCAACCTTCTTCTAGAAGGATTTGGGGACTGAGCCAACGCTAACCACCGCTGCATGGCACTGGGGACGGGGGACGGGGGCCAGCTACAAAGTATAGGCATATGGCTGACGGTGGCAAGGGGGAAGGACTGGCTTGGTCACAAGCATGACGCACCGGTGCAAGCCTCTGCCCTCCCTCCTCGAGAGCTAGAGGAGTCGACTCTTGGATTAGTGATGATGATCGTCCTGTCCCGTCGAGCACGTATCCGAGACAAGTTGGGAGTGAAGATATCATCGCGAAGGTCTTGCTATTGCTTCATGGATAGTATCTTGGGCCCCGAGGGAGGGCGTCTAGAAACGCACGGTGCAGTGTGCGAGTTCTAGAATCACGCCCGCCTCCATTTCTCTTGGATACGAGCAAGCCTTTTGTCTGCCAGGGCCTTGATTCTGTTCAGCGGTGATTGAGCCAGCAGCAACACCCTAGCGTTGTCAGAGCGAAGCTGGAACAAGTTATAACGAGTGGGTCTCGTCTGGCGGACGCTTAAGCTGTCAGTGGCCACTCAACTGGGGTCATCCCTTCCACCTCATTTCTGGCCCTATCAAGCGACTCTGGCAGGCATGTGAAAATGTCTTCCGTCCGTGTTACACGCAGGAGAAGCAGGACAGGAACGGTGCGAGACCAGGCGATCCTCCATTTCGTTGCCGTTCGAGAAACACCTTCGCTTGGGCCATGGCTGAGAGAAGCCAGTCCCATCCTCCATCGTCGCCAGACAACGCCCGCAACAAAGGTGCCGTGGCAGGAAGAAAAGCGGAGGGTTGGATCTGGGGTGCAGCGAGACAGGACGGGTCTGCAACGCAGGTCGAGAAAAAAGAGGAAGAAAAAAAAAAGGAAGAAAATGCGCCCCCAAGTGCCGACTCGCACGTCCAAACGCGAGGGAACTAGAAAGTCGAGGAACTGGGACGCGACAGGACTCCCTACACGTACATAGACCTTTGCCGGAGAGGGTAAGCAGCGCAGTATCCGACAGGGCAGTGATAAATCCATCTCATAAGAGAACTCGTAGGGTGTGAGGATACGAAAGCCACTACGATCCGTCAGGAGAGAGAGAAAGCGCGTGTGAGTTGGCCTCAGGCGTAGTCCTAGCGTGCTTGCTAGCACCACAAGTAGAGCCTCTCAAAGCAAGAATCGTGTACGTCCAGCCGTGCTGACTTGCTTTAGTCACGCCGAATCGAAGAAGCCGAGCTCTGCAGTTCCCCTCCCCTCCCCTCCCTGAGCTCGATGCTCTTCGAGCCAGGGCTTGTTTGGTCACGAGCTTGTCAGAGGCTTTTGCTTTGCACTCTTGATGATTTTTAACCCTTGTTGGTAGACTCGCACCCCCTCGACTAGCGGTCCGGCCACGATTCCCCGGACCACGCTAGGGAGGTCAAAGCGCGCGCTCCCACCCGCGTACCAAACACTTGGCCCCCTGGCCCTGCTGGGAAGGGAGGGATGATATTCCCGCAAGGAACGCGTCAAAGACTTTACCACCAACCACATGACATGGACCGCCTCGAGCAGGGAAGGGGAAGGGGGAAGGCGCCAACCAAAACGTGAGAAGAGAAAACAGAAAACCTCGAACCTCTTTCCGTGCTGAATGACATTTGTCCACGCTCGAATAGGAAGGGAGGCGGAAGAGCGCGTAACCGAAAAAGAGAAGATAAGAAAGGAAAAAACCCAGGCCTGCGGCTCGGAATGATACGATACGCTGAAAGGAAATTGGCGAGGAAATTGGCGAACCCGTGAATTTGTAGGTATGGTTGGAGCGGTTCGCCCGTCAGATCGGCTCTTTTTTCATTTTAGTGCCGTGTCGTCGATGGCAATTTCCTGCTTGTGTAGCAGAGTGCGACGGCGGGATGTACGGTGTTGCGACGTCCGACCCGTTTGTTTTGCAGAGTCGCTTGCGGGGAAAAGCCGGCGAACCATTTGATAACCTCCGCAATGAGCTGAACTGTCCGACCCGAGTCTTTGTCAAGTGATTAGTGTGCAAGTATGTTGCTCACGAGACAGTCTTTCCCCTGGAGGGACTGTCAATGTTCGTAAAAGCGTCGATTCTAGAAATCCGTGTCTAGCGCACTCCCGACTATCGAACCGTGCTTGTACGAGGGCGAGGGCCCCTGGCACACCGGTTCGAAGGAGTGAGTCTTTGCCCATGACCAAGAGAAGACGCCATCATCGCAGAACCAACCGCTCGGAAGCGAGGTGAGTGTGGGGGAGTGGAAGATGGAAACAGCAGACCGGCCCCATATGCCCCCACATTTTGTCTCGCCGCCACGATGTGGTGGTCTTCGGGGCTTTTGGGGAGAAGGGGGGAAGCGACGGGGGATGGGAATGGGGAAATGGGAGAGAGGGCGTGGTGCGAGGGGAGAGACGGCGGAGATGTTCTAATTTCCAATTAACATCCCTTCCATCGAAGGTGGATGGAACGAAGGATGGAAGGGACTAGGATCGATAAACCCTTGAACCCGGTCCAGGGGTGCATTCATTTTGCAAAGGAAATAGACAGAAGGGGAGAAGAGAGGGAAGAAGAAGGAAAAACAAGGCCCGGCCGGGCGGTGGCTTCCGCTCGCCCCGCCGTGAGACAGGCCCGCGAACTCTGTTGCCCTTAGGGGGTGTGTGAGCGTGTGAGTGTGAGAGTGTGTTTGTGAGTGGCTGAGAGAGAGAGTGTGTGCGCGTGGTGTTGGTTGGCTTGGGCTTGGGGGCGTGGCAGTTTTCGCCGTCGATCGAGGGGGACTGTGCTCTTCCCAGGGTGTCGACAGCGACGTTGACAAGGAATGTAGTCAGCACGCTTCCTTTTCACGCCGTGCGGCACTGGGGAGAGAAGGGCGATGCGAGATTGAAGGTGTGCGTGCAGCAAGATTCTGGGGGCCAGAGCTGGCGAAAGAAAAAAAAAAGAAGCCAGTGGGATTCGTTTTAGGAAGGGGTGTGTTTGGCGCTCAGACGGGGAACCGGCGGCGTAGAAGAAAGAATAACTTGGAGAACGACGAAACGAACAAAGGGAGTGCGCCTATGGAGTGAGTGAACCAGCCGGCACTATTCATCACGCCCCCTCCTTCCCTCGAACATGCGCCTACCGTTTTCCCAAAATAAGGAGGCTGCTTCGACGAAGTTGAAAAGGGAAATGGAAAGAGACGAAAGGCGTCTGGAAGCCTCTGAGGAGGATGTTGGTTGGAGATGGCTCGAATGTTGGGGGCGGGATGGAATGGGCCTGGCCTGGGCCTTTCTGCTGTTGTTCGTCTGGCGTCAGTGCGAGATGGTGACTGCCGTTGACGGCTGGGAGGAAATGTAGGCTGGCCTTCTTGGTCTGGCTAGGTTGGACTGGAGAGGAGGTGGATGGGTTGTTTTGCTCTGATGGAGCAAGCGTGGAGATGCTTTGGGAGGAATTGTCCATCACACAGAGAGCGGCCAACATTGGTGTGCTTGGATAGTTTCTGTTGTGAATCATATTCTGACAGGACTGCACAATGGCCCGCCTTCCCAGAGAGAAAATTGCTATGTATCGGTGCTTGTATAAGGTGGGGGCCGGAGACTCAACCCGGGACAGAGAGAGCTGAGGGATCGGACTGATACACTGATGCACACTGTCGCCCAAACTCCCTAGTTGGTAGCAAAACTTCTGTGATCTAGTCAAGATTCTCTAACAGCAGAGGGCGGCTTCGCGGCCGTGTTTACCTTGGCAAGCAGTCCCGAAAGCTAGATCGACCCAGTCGTATCTTTGTCCACCTACTATTTTCAGGGTCAGAGTACCAATCCAATTTGTGTAAGTAACGGGTGGGAGAGGAAAAGGAATACCCTTCCCATTCAGACATATACCAAAGAAGTTTGGATGTCCGGGAGTATCGGGGATCGGTCGGTTCGGAGGTGGGTCGTCGATGGCGGGCCCGGCCCCGGTCGGGTGGGGTGCCAAGTCGCGCTGACATGCCACCACCGCATGCCAAAGAAGGGAGGACGGTGTTTATACATGTAGATTCGGGACCCTCGATGTCATCAAATTATTCTATTGTATATCTAGACGAAAACAGTATAAACGTCTATAAGTCGCCCCTCTCGATCCTCACACCCTTAGTATATACAATGCAGTGTTGATCCGCCCGGAATAAGCAGAGAATCTCGTGCCTGTCTCGAAACCTATACCACACAATCATGACCTTACTCTCCTAGCCAACCGCCGCTCTCCTTCCTCAGCAGGAGCCTCCCGCTTCACTCCGCCCACTACCGCCCGCTCCCGTTCCCGCTTATAGCCCTCCATGAGCACAATAGCCCGGTAATCCTCGTCCCCGAGGAGTAGGCGCACGCCCTCGTTGCAAAACTTGCCCACCGCCGCCTGCCTGGTGGCAAGCATGCGGTCGGCCTGTTGGACGAGGACATCATGCTCGGTGCCTCGCTTGGTCACTACGAGGGTGAGGGCCTTGCTGCCCGGCTGCCTGTCCGTGTCCCAGGCGTACAGCTCGGAGGCAAGCTGGCCCTCGAGGTGAGCGCGGCGCTTCTGCACCATGGTGAAGCGCCCGACCTGCTCCGTCTCGGACTGCGCAAACGCGTTGAGGAGCGCGCAGTCTTGGCAGGCCCGGTACGGGCAGTAGATGGGGCGGTGGGCCCAGCCAGGTAGCCGTTCCGGGTAGGCGGGGACTTGCTTGGGCAGGATAAAGTCGAGGAGGAGGGACCGGGCGAGCTGTCGGACGGCGGGCGTGGGCTGGAGTGAGAGCGGGAGCGCAGTGCCGGGCTCCGGTGACCCAACCAATCCCGCGAGCCCGAGGAGGAGCGTCTCGTAGTGCGTAGTGATGTCGGGCCCGCAGGGTTTGGGCCGCCGGGGTTCCTTGTCGATGAACTCGGCGCAACTCTCCTCGAGGAGGGCTCCCACCTCCGAGGCGAGGCCGAGCGCGAGCCCTTTGCGGATAAAGGCGGTGAAGCGGGCGAAAGCGTGCTGGGCCGCGGCGGCTTTTGCACGTCCCACCTGTCGTGGGTGGGGGGCGGTGGGCGGGCGGGCTTGCGGCCGGCGGCCTGGGAGGTGGTGGGTAACTTGAGGCGGTCGCGGCAGCGGGCGAGGAAGTGTCGGAAGATGATCTCGGCGCTGGAGAAGGCTGGTTCGGCGCGGCGGTTGGCGGCGGTGCTGAGGAGGAGGTGGAGGAGGTCGCGGGAGGCGAGGGATTCGAGGGTGGGGAAGAGACTGGGTGGGGTTTCCCGCGCGGTGGGTGTTAAGCTCCTTACTTTTGCGCCTCGGGAGAAGGGGAGAAAAAGAGGTTGGGGGAGGGAGTGACGTACGTGGTTTCAATCCAGCCGGTGTGGTTGTAGCGCTTGAGGATTATGCTGATGATCAGGTCGTGGTCTTGGAGGGTTAGGCTTTGGCGGAGCTCGAGAGCGGCATCGAGGGCTTGGGGTTTAAATGCGTTGAATGAATCTCGAACGTCTTCGCTCAGCATGGACGAGATGAGGTCTAGATCTTCAAAGAGATTGGCCGACACTACGACCACATCACCGAACCTGTGTCAGACGCAGAGAAGGCGGGCGGACGAGCACTTGTTAGAAGAGCTGCACTGTACGTTGAAGTCGAAACTCAAAGCAAGGACAGAAGAGAAAGAAGAAGGCTTACCACTTTAACCAGTCAATGTCTTCAACGTGTCCGGGCGGACAATCCGCGACGGCCAATTTACAGATGGCCCCCAGCAGCGGGCCCTTTGTCCGATTCACGCCCATGCCCTTGGCGACCGCCGCCCGGTATAGCTCCAGCTCGCCGACCTTGATGGCCGTTTCGGCAATATAGGCCGGCGTGAGGCGGGCTTGGCCTCCCGGAGCCATAGCATCCATGGCCTGGCCCATGAATTTGACGAGAGGGGCTCTGGCGGTCTCGGTGGGGCCGTCGGCGCGCTCGAGCTCTCGGCAGGCGAGGTGCACGAGGGGTCGATGTCCGGCACTAGGAGGCCGTATCTGGTCAGGAGCGCCTTAAGGTCGGCGGGGCGCAAGAGGAGCATGACCTGTGTCGCGAGATGGACGAGAGAGAAATGTCAGCCCTTCCGCTTAAGCGTGCTGGTATGTGAAGGAGAAGGGAAAAGGAAGAGGAATACAAAAAACGGGAAAGAAACCACGAACCGTATCATTGTAGCGATGGGTGTCTGGCCCTCCGTAATTCCCTAGATACTCGCCCTCATCCCAGCTATCGGGCTTCCGGTCTTGCGGGAGACCCGGCCCCAGAATCTCAGCCTGCGCAATAGAGATCTCGTCCGTGACAAAATCCCCGTCGCACGTGTAGACGTACCCCGTCAGCGCGTCGATCGGCGTCCTCTCGTCGTCCCCGTACATTGCCACCTCGACCTCGAACGTGCGTGTCATATTGGCGAGGAGCAGGACGTGTCCGCTCGCGGCGCACGCGCGGCGCAGCGCCTGGCCCACGGCCATGTCCCTCCCGCGGAGGTACTGGAGCTCAAGTTGGCGTCCGTGTACTGGTGCTCGAGCGGGTAGACGAGCTTGTTCCACCGCGAGGCGCGCGGCCAGGCGAGGAGGCGTTCGCGGAGGCGCGCGGCCAGGCGAGGAGGCGTTCGCGGAGGCGCTCGGCCTCCCGCGTCATTCGGGTCGTTGCGGCGAGACCGCCGTCGCCCGCGCTGATGAGATTGTACGTCAGCACGAGGCGGTAGCCGTATGCTAGGGGCTTGACCTCGTGGGTCACGTCCGAGTACCATCCCAGGGCCGTCACATGCGATTGGGACTCCGTGCTCGTCTGCAGAATGACCTTGGACCCGGCAAGCGACAGGTGTACCTCGCCGCCGGCGTGCTGGGACGGTAGGGCCACGACGAGGGTGCCCACCATGCCGGGGGCCTTTTCCGAGTCCTTGTGGGGTTTGAAGAAGGAGCCTTGCTCGTACAGCAACAACTTATACAGCTCGGCCCTCACGCCGCGCATGTCGAGCCGTGCGGCCACGGGCCCGAGGAGCGCGCGGTCGAGAAACGCCGCCCAGTCCGGGTTGGACAGTCGAAAGCAAGAGGCGTCCAGCTCCCACGTGCGGCGGACCGACGTATCGACAATCGTCTGCGTGCCCCGGCCAAAGGGCGCCTGCCGGCTCGCGCTTTTGATCTTCTCGGCGGCGTCGGGGGTTAGCGGGAGGGGATCGGAAGCCCCGGTCGTCCCCGATCCGAATGGCCGGGTCGACGGAGAGGGGCGTGCGCTCGCTCGTGGCAAAGGTGCCCCTGCCCCGGAGCTGGCTTAGGTCATCGAACAAGGCTGCCTTCCATGGCTTGGGGGCCGGGAGCCGCATCATGCTCGCTGTCGCTGCTGATTTCGATGACGTCCGGGCCGTTGCCGTTGCCGCCGAGTGGTCCGGAAAAAGTACTCGTGCTCATGGTCACGCCTGCCGAGACGGAAGGATGCTACGGGAGGCTACAGGCGGGGGTGGGGTGCCAATTTTGATTCCAATTCTCACGGTTTGAGATGCCATTAAAAATCTGTCTACGATTGTCGCAATCAACGCGGTGAACGCGTCGAGGAGCCCCAGCCCGCTGAATCAATCTTCTTCACAGCTAACCACCCCTGTAAACGTTTGGCCTCCCGATACGCCAAATTTCCTGGGGCTTTTTTTGCCATCTATCTTTCTCTCTCTTCACCTTTGCTTAATCCATCACAGGAATAACGAAACGAATACTGAATAGACGTCACTAGAGGATCTCCTGCAACAAGAGAATAGTTTGTGGTAATATCTCGGCGGTCGAAGGTGGAACTTCTTTGCAAAGAAAAACGGTACAGCACGAATTGAATGGTTGAGGGGAGTGTGCGTGAAGCACCAAGAAAGGAACCCAGGACGCACGTCGATCCGTCGGCCGCTGCGAAAAAGGAACGGACACGGCACGGCGCTTTCTTTTCCTCGTTGCTCTTCATTCGACACATATGATTTCTGGATTCCTTTCCGAGAGAAGGGGTCTGTCCCAATTTCGTTCTCTATTCATTTGCCCATCTTCAATAACGTCTTCCACACCCCCTCCTCTCCCCCATCCCCCAAGAACCGAGATTCTTCACGGAGCCGGCCCGCGCGTTGGTAAGCGCGCAGCTGCGCCCCGACCTCCCGCCCCCGCGGGGGGTAGAACGAGGGAGAAGAAACGAACAAGCCCGCTCCTTCATCCGAGATATCTGGTACAGAGGATCGTTGCCCCTGAATATAATGGATATCCGTCTGCCTTTGGTGTATGCATGCGAAAGGGGGCATCTATGGGTGCACCTCTCCCGTTGACGCACCCCAAAAGAAACGACACCCTCCTCCCGGAATCCTTTCCCGAACACGGCTTGGGGGAAAGGAAAGGCCAGCCACGTCTATTAATGGACCGAGCATGCCGAGTATGGTAATGTCGCTTAGGTGCGCCGGGAAGGAGGAAGATGGCGAGGCGCGCCGTCGTCCGCGTTTCCGATCGTGTCAACTATGTCAGGATTAATCGTTTACACGCCCTCATCCAGCAGCCCGAAATCGAGGTTGAGCTCTGCTATGCAAAAGAATTACAGAAACGTGATGTAAAACGTTCTGGTGAAGCGCTTACCTTTCCTTTGAGTGAAAAAAAGAGACAAGTCATTGTTAAAGAAGGACAAAAGACGTCTGTCCCTATACATATTCATCTATGTCTTTTTCTACACCTCCATAGCCAGCGCCTGATGATGGTATAAGATTTCCCCATAGTTTCGACATCAATATTTCCACTGCACTTCTTTTTCTTCTTCTCCCTCGCCCGTTCGAGAAGTCCCTCTCACAAGGTCTCGAAACCTGGTTCCGTCATCATGGTAAACGACAATCACTTTTCGTGAACCTTTTTCCTTCGTACCCATATTACCTAGAGGTTTAATAGTCACCCTCATCCACACCCGCCACAATCACATTGTTCACCTTGAGCACCATGCGGCATAGCTGCGTCGCAAGCTGAAGCTGCTGCTTCTTGCCAATGAGGGGTCGATGACAAAGGCGTCCTTCATGCTGTTGTTGCCGTGGTTCATGCAGTCCACGCCAAACTTGCCCCGGGCTCCGGCGCCGCCCTTGGCCTGTTGGCTCTTGACGGACGCGAGTGTGGCGATGGGATCCAAACCACTGTTCTCCGCGAGGGCCATGGGGATGGCGTCAAGCGCCTCAGAGAACGCACGCATGGCGTACTGCTCGATGCCGGGTGTCTTAACCGCCGCATCCTCCACCGCGAGAGAGCATGCAATCTCGGCCGCGCCACCACCATATACTACCCTGTTGTCGCGGACGAGGTTCCTTACAACACACAGGGCGTCGTGAAGGGACCGCTTAGCCTCGTCGATAAGCTGCAGAGTTGGCCCAAGTTAGCAAAATGGTCAGAAGCAAGTGAGGGTCAAAGTGGAAGCCGCAAAAAGGAAAGAAAGAAGCCAAAAAAAAAAAAAAAAGAAAGAGGGCTACACGCAAAGTGGATGAGGGAAGAAGCAGCGTCAGGGAAGTCTTTCATAACCTACCATCTTGTTGCTTCCGCGAATAAAGGCCGTCACGGCACGAGTGTTGGCGCACTCCTCAATGACGAGCATCTTTTCCCTCGTCGTTCCAAACGACATCTCCCGTACGATACCGGCGTGGCCGAGCTTGGCGGGGTCAGATCTTCGAAGCGGGGCACGATTCGTCCGTTAGTCGCAATCGCAATCAGCTCGATCTCGGGACCGCCAACCCATCGCACGGCGGGGAGCTTGTTCTGGAGAAGGAGATGGTTCGCCTCGTCATCGAAGCCCCACTGGCAGATGGCCAAGTTGGCGCCAGTGTCCTTGATCTGCTGAATCATCTCGATAAACTTTTCCCTCTCGTAGTTTTGAAGCTTCTTGAACTCCTCCACGCTGGTGATGTCGAGGTGGTGTTTCGTCTTGGGCTTGGGCGGCTCAAAGGCGCACGTCAAAATGGCAATCTTAGCATCCTTGACCTCGGAAGGCATCTGGGGGTGGGAGAAGTCCTTGTCGACAATGACACCCTTGACGAGGAGTGAATCCTCCAGAGAGCCACCGACCTTGCCATCCACCTTTATAAGCTCGAAATCAACGTCCTTTCGCTCGAGGTCTGCGACCGAGAGAACAGCGTCGACGGCGATCTTGGCAAACTGGTCGTGGGCCTTGGACACGATCTTGCTGCCGAGACTGGTCCGCGCCACCTTGAGCAGGTTTGTCGTCTCGTCCTTGGTGAACTCGATGACGTCCGAAATCTTGTCTAGCTCCGCCACGGCAATGTCGCAAGCGTGATCGTAACCATCAGCAATGCGGATGGGGTGGATACCCTTGTCGATGAGCTCGGCGGCCTGTTCGAGGAGGGCACCGGCAAGCACGACCACACCCGTGGTTCCGTCGCCTATCTCGTCGTCCTGGGACTTGGACAGTTCCACGAGGAGCTTTGCTACGTGATTGGTGATTTCCATCTGTTGCAATATAGTGGCGCCATCGTTCGTTACCGTGATATCGCCGTCGGGAGAGATCAGGATCTTATCGAGGCCGCGGGGGCCGAGGGAGGTCTTGACAATGTTCGCTACGGTGCGGGCGGCGAGGATATGTGACTTGACAGCTTCGGTGCCGAATTGGCGCTTCTTCTTTCCTTGGCTATGAGAGCGTTAGGCCACGAGGTGGTGGAGAAAAGTGAGGTCAAGGAGTCTGAGAATATAGGAAAAGGGGAGAAAAACGGATGGGTAGGGGAGGAGGGGTGGGTGCTGCGGGCGTTCATACTCTCGGACAACGATAAAGGGACGGCCCTGGTCATCCTTCATCAACGCCGCTAGATTCACAAAGATTAGTTTGCGAGGCTTTCGGGGGTCGTGGTTGCGGGCGCGCTTCCTACCGTTGGACAAATCTAGGTCTGCGAGGCTGTTAGCGGGGTTCCATGGAAGGCGGCAGAATAGCGTGGAGACACTCACTCATTGCCATTGTTCTCGGCTGGGAGAGCTAAGAAGCTCTAATTATGTTTTGCAAAGGAGAAATATGCTGCAAAATGGAAACCCTACAGCCGAACTTGGACGGGGTTGTGAAGCTCGGAAAGGGGTTGATAGGGAGGGGGCGGGGTGCTCTCGTGGTAAGGGAAAAAAATAATGTTGAAGTTGATGATTTTTGCAGTTGCCTGCCAGAGGCTAGCACCGCCTAGGATGCGGTTGCTAGCTGCCAAACGGAGCGTGCTCTTAGCGGTGTACCGACGTGATGCTATGTCAGCTTTCCGTGCTAGTTTTGCCAATGGCGGGACCACATAATCTTTGACACCACCAGCAAAACTTCTGGTGCAGGCAGCGAATTCCGCCCAGGGTCGGTCGCGGACAGCGATCTTGTCACGTGATTGATGCAACCTCGAACTTTCGCCTCAGAGGCGGAAGACGCAGTGCTTCTTCAAGCTCTCAAGCTTGACAGCTCTTGTCTAACCTCAAGCTGCAATCCTCAGATCAGCCATCCCGTTGATCAAGTCGTAGCTAATGAAAATGATTTACCCATGGCCCCCTTTTAGTATAAATCTTGACAAAAGGGCCCGGGTTCGTGTGCATCCCACCCAAGCCGCAAGCTCCTATGGTGAGTAATCGAGTCAGCCATGCAAGTGCCTTCCAGGTGACGGTTTGCCCCTCCCCCACCTTCCATCTCTGTGTGTACCTTTCGAGCAAAGCTGCTATTACCCCGCCATCCCCACGACAAAATATATACCAACTTCGCCTGACGCCGACTACGCCCCATCAAATTCCCGGAAGCAGTTATTACTCATACGGCCAACCTGGGCTTTTTCTTTCTTTCAGGACTCTCCGAGGAGCTTAGATCGCTGACCACCCTCTTTCACTTGAGATACTAAGGCTGTTATAGAAGGTATTTATTTTTCCTATAAGAGCTTTCGGAACCTCCTCCACGCCCACCTTGGAGCTCCCTATTTTCATCCGTCTTCACTCTAGCCCGCCGGAGATCGCTAACCGAGAAGTTTCTCACTTCAGACACATTCCCCTCCTCCACCGAGTCACCTGCAGCCCACCACAGATACACCTACGTATACGAAAGCCCGATCCGTCACATAGCAAGCACTTCTAACCTACCACTCACACACCTCCACAATGTCTCGCCATCCGGTAATGGCAAGCCTCGATTACCGAGAGGAGCTGTCCGATGCAGAACCGAACGATGCCGTGCCCTTTGATGAGGATGAGGTCGACGAGGTCGCCATGCGTGAAGGCAAGGCAAAGGTCCTTGCGGCGCTTGGCGAAATCGCCGATCTCATCCCCCAGCGAGATAGAACAAGCTCTATGGGACAATTACTACGATGCCGAAAAGTCGGTGGCTATGCTTACGAGCATTTACGAGAACGAGGTACACAAACTGGGCGAGGCAACGATCGAGGTGTTGGCGCGCCTCGGCGAAGCCTCTGAAAAGGTCACACCGAAACAAATCAAGGACTCTTTATGGCATTATTACTTTGATATTGAGAAGACGGTTGCCTACATAGACCGGACTTACATAAATCCTGTCGAGAAGCCGAAGCCAAAGGCCAAGGCTCCTGTCGAACGTAAGTACTGCCTAAACTCTCTACCCCGTGGTCGGTACGGAGGCTCCGAATTTCCGCCAGAGGGGGCGAAAACGTCGGGTGGGCGGCGCGGTTCCGGACGACGGGGGCTTCGAAACAGCTGCGCGTACGAATATTCGCTAGTGCCGCGGGTCAGGGTCCCGGCGGAATGGCACTTTTACGGTATCCCTTGGGCGGGCGGTCTACGCGGCCCGGCCACCACTTTTATCGAGCCGCCGCGGTGCGTCGGCCTCCTAGGCGGCTCCGGAAAGCCTTCCAAGCTCCAAGCCCTCGCTGCGGCCCGGAAAAACAAAAGGTGGCGGATAAGCAAGCCCCGGTCCCCGAGGCGGAAGCCCCGAGCACCACACCTTCCACGTCCGCTACCCCCACCGCGCCCGCTACGAAAAAGAACCCATCAAGCTCGACATCAGGCTCCTTTCCAAGAGGCGGCGGCAAGAGTCGAACGCGGGCTCGGCCGACGCCGCGACCTCCCAGCAAGCAGCGCAGGGAGGTGGCAAGGTTACGGAAGATCCACCAAGCACCGAAATCGACTCTACAGGCTTGGATGCGGCCTCTGCCCCCGAAAACCCCGTCTTCTGCCAGACAGCCCGACCCTCTTCCTTCGCCGCGACGCTCTTTGGACCCAGCGCAAACGCCCCGGCTCGCCAGGCCGAATCGTACCCTTTCCCGTACACGATTTCCAAGTCGTACTCCGCCGAGCCCTTCCTCAAGCCCAGCCCGGACGATGTTGTGATGGCGGCACAAGCCCAAGGTTCGCGCTTTTCGGGTAAATAATGACAGACTAATCCTGACCAATATTCTTTTCCTCGCACCAGCCGGCAAGAAGGTGGCTGCGCCGACGCAGAAAAAGGGCCCCAAGGGGTCCTCTTCCGCCGCGCCGTCCAATAGCAACGTCGAGGCCGTTGCCGAGCAGATGGGTAAGCTCACGACGAAATTCGAGGCGCGACCCAAGAGCAAGCAGTTGGACGTCGCGAAGGAGTACGAGGCGATGAAGAAGGACAAGAAGTCGGCGAGCTTCGTCGTTGTTGGTATGTTTCTTTTCCCCCACCCCTCCCTCCCCACCAAAAGGTTAGGAAGACTAGTCTTCTTTTCAAGTACCCGGCACTTATCTAATGAGTTGGGCAGGTCACGTCGATGCGGGAAAGAGTACGTTGATGGGGCGTCTTCTCTTGGAACTCAAGTTTGTAGACAAGGCTTTGGTCGACAAGTACAGGAGGCAGGCAGAAAAGATTGGAAAACAATCCTTTGCACTCGCTTGGGTCATGGATCAGAGGGAAGAAGAGCGAGATCGCGGCGTGACGATCGATATTGCAACCAACCATTTCGAAACGGCCGCGTGCAGATATACCATTCTAGACGCACCGGGACATAAGGATTTCATCCCCAACATGATTGCCGGTGCTAGTCAGGCGGACTTTGCCATCCTCGTAGTAGATGCGAGCACTGGCGCATTCGAAAAGGGACTCAAGGGGCAGACCCGAGAGCACGTGCTTCTCTTACGAGCGCTCGGTGTTCACAAGCTAATCGTGGCCGTCAACAAGATGGATATGGTGGGATGGTCTAAGTATCGGTATGACGAGATATCGGACCAGATCATGGGGTTCCTGTCGGCCAAGGGCTTCTTGGCCAAGAACATCACTTTCATCCCCCTGTCCGGCTTCAACGGCGACAATCTGACACGGCGGTCGGACGCGCCCGAGTCAACGTGGTACACGGACATCACGCTCGTCGAGGCCTTGGATGGTGCAGACCCCATCACCCGGCCACTGCAGAAAGCCTTCCGCATGGCCATCTCGGAGATCTGGAAGTCGCCGCTCGGCCACGTCACGGTTTCGGGCAAGATTGATACGGGAACAACACAGATCGGCGACGCGCTCGTGGTGCAACCCAGCGGGGAGGAGGCCTACGTCAAGACCATTATGGCGGACGCGGACCTGCGCGACTGGGCCGTGGCCGGGGAGAGCGTCAGCATCTTCCTCACGGGCATCGACCCGGCGCACCTCCGCGTGGGCGACATTATGTGCGCGGCGTCCCATCCTATCGGAACGAGCGACACGTTTACGATGAAGGCCATGGCGTTTGAGCACATTATGCCCATGCCCATCGACCTCCACCGCGGGCGGCTGCACTCGGCCGGTCAGATCTTCGAGATGGAGGCCATTCTAGACAAGGCTACGGGCGAGACGCTGAAGAGGCGGCCCAAGGTCATCCAGCCGGGCGAGGTGGCTAGGATTACGGTCAAGCTCGGGTCCAAGATTCCGCTCGAGGCGGGCCAGAGAGTCGTGATCCGAAGCAGCGGCGAGACGGTCGCGGCGGGCTTGGTGGAGTAGCGAGCGGGAAGAGGAGAAGGACGAGTTTTTTTTTCCGGTTGCTATTCGCATGTTGCATGGCTTGTTAAGGTGGGAAATAAGGCTGGAGAGGCATTGTGTATACGTCTAAGCGTACATCTGAATATTGGCTTAGCAGAAGAAAGAAGAACGCAAGGATAGAATACGATTCTTTGCCCTTTTTCTTTACAATCTTGTAGGGCCCGAGTCCTCTCATCGTGAGCATGTGACGACAGCAGAAGCTGAAGCTTCGAGCTCCTCCTCTTTTTTTCTTTGTTCTTCCCACCTGTAAGAGTCGGTGGCGATGCCGCAACAACAAAGGCAAGGTGATGAAGTGCCGATCCTCGCGCCACTAAGAGCAGCCAACGGGTTTACTGAGATACTTAAAACTCTAGACTAACACCTCGAACCGTGCCATCCTCCTATAGCGAGACAACGGGCTATAGGAGTGAAACATTACGGGGAAGCGGTTGGCGGTTGGGCTAAAGTGGAAACCAGATGTTCACACGCCTTGCCCTGCACAGCAGATGGGCCAAGAGCGCCAACAGCCCCGAGAGCTCTCTGCCATTTTCATTTCTTGCTTATAGGGGAAGGCTGTGCGGGAGAAGCACGATGGGAGAGCGGTGGAGTGAATTTGATCAAGGCAGTTTTACCTTTAGTCTTGAGCAGATGTGCTCCGTTGGTGGTGCAGGAGGGGCTCGTTTCTAGAGCTATGGTGGGTCTCGTCTCGGGCGGAAAAAAGACGACACCTTGCAGACATATCAAATCTCTAGCTAAAGCCTGGTCCTGGGCCCCACGCTTCGAGAGAAGTGGGTGGGTTACTGTTGTTTCGCTGGCTTATACTTGTATCATTCCTTGTGCTTGGCGTTGGTTCGGCAGCGCGGCTTCGCCAGAGTCGAACCGAGACGAGTTGGGGGACACGCATGAATATACTTGTACTACAAGTAGTCGTTGTTGCGGAAAAAAAAAAAAAAAAGGTCAAGCAACAAGTATTATTCCGTAAACTAGAGTGGATTATCCGTGTTGAGCCTCGAGGGTTGTCCACAAGGCGGCACTGGGAGTGGTGGGATTTTGGGGATCTTGGGGCCGAAGAGCGGGATTACAGTTGGCTCAATTTCGTTTTGTGGGGAAGGTTCTGGAAATATGAGGCACGCGGGGGACAGCATAGGAAGGAACACTTGAGGCAGCAAAGCCCTGGTCTTTGAATGACATGGGGGACATCAATGATAATGCGCTTCACATGGGACGACATTGGTCTTCTTAACATGGCTGTTAATGGTGAGAAATAGCTGGTGGGGTTACTTACTATTTTGTCTTCAATGTTCTTTGGGGACACACCATCAGGCTCGCCTATCCCGCAGACGCGACCTGCTTCTTGATTGCCATTCTGTCGGAAGTCGTGCGGTACGATGCGGTGCGGGTATTAATGCAAGGGCAAAAAAAAAAAAAAGAATTGGAGCGCGTGGGAGAGAGTACATGAAGAACGGGCCACGGAACCCGTCTGGAGCATGGGCATTCACAAACGAATTTTGGGCGTTGGCGACTCGCTTCTTTCCCCCGGAATATGGTGTAATAGATTGCCTGCAGGAAGAGGCCACAGTGGCATTCCACGAACGGCCGCTCGCTTCCAAGAACGCCGCGAGTGCGTGTCTGCGTTGTATTACACGCGTGCCCCAAGGCAGACGTCGCCTCAAGCTCTTTGTTCCCTAGTCCGGCGACAGTGTGTGGTGGAGAAGAGCCCTCGTGATGATGGGGAATATTGCCTCTTGGTGACTCACGATGCCGCTGGGTGTGGCGAGTGGGAATGCTTTTTGATATTCGGATCTGGCGGGAGGAATGGATTGTTGCTGAATCACGCTCTTTTACGATACTTATCGTTCTTGATGAAGATTTACAAGTGCGTGCAGGGTATCTATCATTAGACCCAACCTATTTGTGTTTTGTTCGTAAGGGGGAGAGGCGGGCGGGACATGGGGGTGGACGGTTCTACGCTAGCTGTCTTGGGTTTGGCCAACCACCCCGAACAAGGCTGGCACCGAGGAGCAAGCGGGCGGAACAGGCGAAGAGGCCACTCTGGCGCCAGGGAAGGGGGCCATCTGAAAGACAAGACAGATGCCAACCATGGAAGATCCAAGTCCCCCATCAAGAACAGAAGGGAAACGGGTGGCTGACTTGACGGGGCCCCACGCCAGGCGTCTCGAATCAGAGGGTCGCATTTTTAACCCTGGGAGATGGATCCCATGTCTCACCCCGTACGCTCCTCGTTCGACTTGGGATTTGGCAGGAAGAATAAAAAAAAAAAAAGAGAAAAAAAGAAGAAAAAGAAGAGGCGTTTGCGCCGGTAAGCCTAGCTCACTGGCTCTCTGACCTGGGTTGGCCTTTTCCTTCGAATGTTGAACCTGAGATCTTGAAATACGATCGGGTCACAAGGGCGGGCTGCTAAATTGATGGGGGAAGGCACATGTTCCGAGGGAAGAAAGTAATGGACGTGGCCTCTTCCAGTGCTATCTTCGCTCGAGGTTGAGCTAGGCACGAAGGCGGGGCTAACCCCCATGAGGACAACGTCAACGGCAATGACTGATCTCGTCATCGCTCTCGGGAATGAAGATTGGCAGAGAAAGGCCCGAGAGAGTTCGGCGAAAGGAGTCGCCTGCTTGTAGGCACCTAGGAGGCGCGTCGACTCATCGAATCCACGACGTGATTGAAAGCTCTCTGAGATGGCCCATCTCGACATGCCTAGAGCTCTTGGTCATAACACTTGTCAAGTTTGGCGGGACCCCGGAATTAGAAACCTGGTCCGCCCCTCAACCGCGGGGCAATATACTCCAGGAGGAGATGGAACCCTCCGGAAACTGTATCCTTTCTTTTCTTTCTTCCGTACCGGCCGGACCTCAAGGGAGGAGGAAACCCAAGAAAGCGAGGAGAGAAAAAATGAAGAAGAAGACCAGGGACGCCCTCTTCCCCAATGCCCTTTGACCGTCGCATAGCCAAAAGAGAGGGCACACAAATAAAAATTAAAAAGGTTGGAACTTTGCTGCAAGGCCCCTGACCGGGGAGGGTTTTTCTTTTCCTCACCACTTCTCGCCGCCGCTTGGATGCCTCTACCGGCGTTAGTTCAGGAGGTTTGCCCCCTTACCTCTGCCTCACCTCGACGTCGACTCGGGCGTATCACAACGGCCAACATGGAAAATGGGCCTGCGCTTAGAATAGGAGCACGGCGGAGTCTTGTGGCTGGGGATGGCGAAGTACATTCGAGGTGCTTCTTCGAATGACGATGCAGGAAGAGAGGACAGTGTCGACAGTGTCCAAGTAGCGACATGGAAAAAGAACGTTGTTCCAGCGAGGACCTGGCACAGTCTGCTTTTGACCCGGCTCGGTACCTTCACCTCGGAGCCAACAGGGAATTTGGGGGTTTGTTCTCATTTAGAGTACTTGGGTCCTGACCCATCTGTACAGTGCCAATGCAGGCTGTCTGGGGGTTCCAAAGAAAGAAAGAAAGTCGTGTAATACCAGCGGCGGCTCAAACAAGAGGTACCTGAATCACCGGATCCGCGCTGACATGGCCGGGCAAATCCGCCAATCGGTACCTGGAACAGCCAGCAGCTAGCAGGTACGAAGTACATGGGTACCTTAATAATCAACACATTACCCACCCCTTACTATACTCAAAAAGCCAAAGTTGCAACTGTGGCAGGTCCCGCCCCATGCACGTACCGCGCTGCGTACCTCAGCGAGACGGCGCCTTCTCCTTTTGTGAGAAACCGCCCCCTTGCTCCAGTCGCTTGCTCCAGACGCAAAGGGGAGGTGTCCCTAATCCCAAAAGTGGTGGCGGTTGTTGCTTCCCACCCCCAAGCTGAAATCTGGCCTTTTTGGAGCAGCAATTGGACACCTCAACTTTTTGCGGTCCCTCTTCCCTCCCCTGCCATTGATAAAGGTGGAATTCTTCTTGCCAACATCACAGTCTCCTGAACTTCTTCCCTTCCACATCCTCACTTTCCTTGGTGAACGATCTCCAGGAAGACAAATCCCCTTATCCCTTGACCTGACCCGTGAAGTAAAGGCTCCTTGAATAGCCTGCACGAAGTCAACTGCTTTCTCTTCTTTTTCTTTTCCCTTCTAGTCACCTTTTTATTTCCTTTGGGATTGTGAAGCGCATCTTGCATTTTTCAGACACACACACTCACCATGGCCAGACAACGATCCGGCCTGGCCCTGGGCCTTTTGGCCTTCTTCGTTCTCCTATTCTCCCCCTCGCCTTCGTCCAGACCGCGAACGCGCAGGGTGTTGAGGAGATGGGCACTGTTATCGGTATTGTAAGTCTTTAGCTACGATAGTCCTCTCTCGCCTTTTGAACCCGTGTCTTTCTGTCCAGCTTCTCGAAGCATTTGCACCTCAGCAAGGAGGCTAACCGAGGCAATGCACACAATTAGGATTTGGGAACCACTTACTCTTGCGTCGGTGTGATGCAAAAGGGCAAGGTCGAGATTCTCGTCAACGACCAGGGAAACCGTATCACCCCTCTTACGTGGCCTTTACCGAAGACGAGCGTCTCGTCGGTGATGCCGCGAAGAACCAGGCCGCCAACAACCCCACCAACACCATCTACGATGTCAAGTAAGTTTGATCCTCTACAGCCACACTGCGGTAGGCAAAGCCAAGCAGAGAGAGAACAGGTCAACTAATCTTTTTTCTTCAAATAGGCGTCTGATCGGTCGCAAGTTCGAGGAGAAGGAGGTCCAGTCCGATATCAAGCACTTCCCCTTCCAGGTCGTGAACAAGGAGGGCAAGCCCATTGTTCGCGTCCAGGTAGGCGGAGCCGACAAGGACTTCACCCCCGAGGAGGTCTCGGCCATGATTTTGGGCAAGATGAAGGATGTCGCTGAGAGCTACCTTGGAAAGAAGGTCACTCACGCCGTCGTCACCGTCCCCGCCTACTTCAACGACAACCAGCGCCAGGCTACCAAGGATGCCGGTGTCATTGCCGGCCTCAACGTCCTCCGTATTGTCAACGAGCCCACCGCCGCCGCTATTGCCTACGGTCTTGACAAGACCGATGTTGGCGAGCGCCACATCATTGTCTACGATCTCGGTGGTGGTACCTTTGATGTTTCCCTCCTGTCCATTGACGAGGGTGTCTTCGAGGTCCTTGCCACCGCTGGTGACACCCACTTGGGTGGTGAGGATTTCGATCAGCGCGTCATCAACTACTTCGCCAAGTCCTTCAACAAGAAGCACAGCGTTGACATCACCAAGAACCCCAAGACCATGGGTAAGCTCAAGCGTGAGGCTGAGAAGCTCAAGCGCTCGCTCTCTTCCCAGATGTCGGCCCGTATCGAGATCGAGGCCTTCTTCGATGGTGTCGATTTCTCCGAGACCATGACTCGCGCCAAGTTTGAGGAGCTCAACATGGATCTCTTCAAGAAGACTCTTAAGCCCGTCGAACAGGTCATCAAGGATGCCAAGGTCAAGAAGGAGGATATTGACGACATTGTCCTCGTCGGTGGCTCCACCCGTATCCCCAAGGTTCAGGCCCTCATTGAGGAGTACTTTGGTGGCAAGAAGGCCTCCAAGGGTATCAACCCCGACGAGGCTGTCGCTTTCGGCGCTGCCGTCCAGGCTGGTGTCCTTTCCGGTGAGGAGGGTACTGAGGAGATTGTCCTCATGGACGTCAACCCGTTGACCCTCGGTATCGAGACCACCGGTGGTGTCATGACCAAGCTCATCACCCGTAACACTCCTATCCCCACCCGCAAGAGCCAGATCTTCTCCACCGCCGCCGACAACCAGCCCGTCGTCCTCATTCAGGTCTTCGAGGGTGAGCGCTCCATGACCAAGGACAACAACATCCTCGGCAAGTTCGAGCTCACTGGCATCCCCCTGCCCCCGTGGCGTTCCTCAGATTGAGGTCTCCTTCGACCTCGATGCCAATGGTATTCTCAAGGTCTCTGCCCACGACAAGGGCACTGGCAAGACTGGTAAGTTTTCACCCTATACACGCACTCTCGCTCCCAAAGAATGGCTACTAACTGCCCAACTACAGAGTCCATCACCATCACCAACGACAAGGGCCGTCTCACCCAGGAGGAGATCGACCGCATGGTTGAGGAGGCCGAGAAGTTCGCCGAGGAGGACAAGGCCCAGCGTGAGCGCATCGAGTCCCGAAATGGCCTCGAGAACTACGCCTTCAGCCTCAAGAACCAGGTCAACGACGACGACGGTCTTGGTGGCAAGATCGACGACGAGGACAAGGAGGCCATCCTCGACGCTGTCAAGGAGGCCCTTGACTGGCTCGAGGAGAACGGTGCCACGGCTGAGGCTGAGGACTTTGACGAGCAGAAGGAGAAGCTCTCTGGCGTCGCTTACCCCATCACCTCCAAGATCTACGAGGCTGGTGCCGGTGGTGCCGCTGATGATGATGAGCCCGTCTCTCACGATGAGCTATAATTGTAAAAACCCGAGTTCTCTTTTTTCCCTCTTTTTCGTTACCCTCTTTCCATAGATGATGTTCATATACCACTGGGTGTACGGTAAAAAACGAGCAATGCATGAAATCTTTTCAAAATAAAGAGCTTACGCTTAATACCTCTCTCTGTGCGTTTCCCCGTCCGTGATGTCACAGTTTTCGTCTTTTGACCTTGGATCGTAAATGTGCCCATCTCTCCTCGTCTTCATGCTTGGGCATACCACCGAGAGCGCTCATGCTGGTCTATCTTGGTGACGTAACGGTCCATCGAAATTGGTGCTGGCACGCCGCCGTCGGTGGGCCACATCGTCATCGTCTCGCCCATCACTTTGATGGCTTGTGCTGGCTGCCTTGCGGCCTGGTCAAGACACTTTCACCTGCAGCCATCACGGCTCCACTTCACGTGTGCAAGGCGATGCCTCCCCCAGGCACACCCCACAGACGTCACCAAAAACGCCCATGTCGCACAATGCCGTTCTCGGAGCTCTCGGATCGAGCATCGTCGGAGAGAAGAAAAGAAGAAAAAGAACACAAGGTAGAAGAAGAAGAGGCAAAAAAGGAAGAAAAAAACGATAGGTTTAAACACAGCTCATTCACTTCATCCTAACTAGTACAAGCAAGCACCAAAGTTTCATGATACCCAACGCCCCCACCAAGTTGGTTTGTCTCAATAATTACCTGCGGCATCCTCATCGCCCTTCGCATGAGCAGTATAACACATGAAAACAAAAAGAGGTGCTAGATAAGGAAAGAAAACACTAACTAGTACAGAGAGGACCGGCGAGTCCGAAACAATGAACGAAACCAGAGCAATGAAAGCAGCAGAATGATGTCCTGATTCTTCCAGCACACTGCATTCGCACCTTTGCTAAAAGGAAAATAAAAGTCGTGGATATCAAAGAACAAGAAAATACAACCCGCGGCATGGGGTGGCCCTTACCCCCCCGTCAAGACCGCTCCTCCAAAATTTCATCTCTGAGCATGCGAGGTTCTCTACGAGCCCTGCTTAGCGAAGCACTCATCCATCTCCTTCTTGTACTTTTCGCGGACAACCTTTCGGTTGACCTTTGCGTGGCAGTAACGAGGCCCTAGGTAAATTCGATTGTTAGTATTACGGAGGTTTCTAGGGCGGGCGAGCCGCACTGGGCATGGGGGAAATTAAGCTTACATTGATGGGGGTCCATTCTTCGTCAGTGATGACAAGACCCGCAATCATTTCGATGGGTGCGAGGTTAGCCCTCTTTCCGTGGGCAACCATGTCCTTGTAGACGGCGCTGACCATCTTGGGGCTGTGGTACATGTCATGCTCGTCAACACCGAGTTCCTCCGCCTTTTCGTGGAAGAGCTTCTCGTTGGGGTAGATGACGGCGATGGCGCGGGGATGGTCGCTGTGGCCCTCAATCATGATGTTGTGGACCAGGTTGCTACCACGGTAGATAGACTCGAGCTTCTCGAGCGCAATATACTCGCCTCCCTGCATCTTGACGAGGTTCTTGACACGATCAATCACCTTCAAGTGACCATCAGCGTCGAATTCTCCGATGTCACCCGTCTTGAACCAGCCATCGGCTGTCTTGGCCTTGGCGGTCTCCTCGGGGTTCTCGTAGTATTCGGTGAAAACGGCCGGTCCCTTGACAAGAATCTCACCCTGAGGAGGGTTGTTATCCGTGCTATAGCCGAGCTCAGGAATAGAGACTAGCTTAACATCGACAGAGGCCGGGATGGGGCCAATAGCGTTGGAGGTATATTCGAGAGGCGAGCCGAGAGCACCGTTGGCACCCGTCTCGGTCAAACCGTACCCGGTAAGCATGGGGGCGAGTACCATTGAGAGGAAGTGCTTGGTGCCGTCGGAAATTCCGCTAGCGCCGTTCATGATGAATCGCAGGCGACCACCGGTCATCTCGCGAACCTTCTTGAAAACGATGCCGTCCAGCAGGCTTGCGGCCGGGAGGCCACGCTGGGACATGAAGGTCTTGTAGTTGAAGGCACCCCAGAAAAGAGCTCGTACCACGGGGCTGGAACCCTGCACCTTGGAGGTTACGCCCTTTCGAACCGTCTCCCATACCTGGGGCACACCAACCATGACAGTGGGCCGCAGCTCACGCATGTCACCGGCGCAGTTCTTCACCGAGACATCTGAGAGCGTGCGTGGGCTACCATATCCGAGGGTACCACCAATGACGAGCACGAGATTCTCGAGGCAGAGTTCGAAAATATGGGCGAGCGGGAGGTAAGCAAGAATGACTTCCTTGTTACTGACAGTGTCACCAACACAAGTAAGGAGACCGGCAACTGTTTAATGGGTAAGGATTACATATGTCAGCGAATCTAAGCGAGCAACGCAATCAGGTTCAAAGCGAGGGGGGATAAAAGTCAACTCCGCTTCCATGCACGATGACGCAACACGGCGAAGGCCAGAAAGCGCACCTCGATAGGAGGGCAAACCGGTCAAAGAGCGAGGATTGATAATCGTGACAAGACTTACCGGCAGCGATAATTCCAGCATGGGTCATGGGAACACCCTTAGGGGCGCCAGTAGAGCCCGAAGTATACATGAGACAGTAAAGGTCTTCTGGCTTGGGAGGGACGGGCTCAACAGGGTTCTCCTGGCCGAGCTTGCGGAGCTCAGAGATGCTGTACACGGGCAAATCGGGATTCTGCTTCTTGAACTCGTCGACCTCGGAGTGATCGGGCTTGGCAAAGATGGAGCTGTCATTGTAGACGACGAATTTCACATGGGGCGACGACTTGAGCGCAGTGTTGACAGTTTGGAGAAGTTGAGGGTCTACAAACATGCCGCTGACCTTGGACTGAACGAGAGTATGCTCGACACCCGAGGCGCCCAAAGAATCGTAGGCGGTGACGATCGAGATAGACTGGGACGAGCAGCCATGGGCTACAGCCATCCAGTTGGAGCTAATCCACCACGCATATTAGCATGACGGTGCCCATCGTCATCAAAGGCCGGATTTGCCAACACTTTGTAGAAGCGGGAAAGTGCGGAGAGGACAAGGGCGGGGAAAAGCAGTAGGCTGGCGCCTAAGAGTGATTTCGAACGAGTCTTTCAGGGGCAAGGCGGGATAGGATCTGGCAAGGGCAAAGGGAAACAAACGTACCTGGTAGCGGCGTAAAGGTGCAGCCTTTCGCCAGGGTTGAGGCCAAGCTTACGCAGGCCAGCACCAAGCTCAAGGACATATTGGAGGTACTCCTTGTAGGTGACAAAGGTAAATGGGGAAAGCTCAAAGAGCTGCCACTTCTTCTCAACTTCCTGAACCTCGCCCTCGACGATCTTTTGCACCTTTTTCGTCTCGGTGTGCATTTGAACAAGGCTACGAGAACCGACAGCGGTACCATCGGGCCAGACGGAAGCACTGCGCTTGATGATGTCGAAGACGGTGTGGACTCCTCGGCGGGGCTGGTGATGAGTCCATCCTTGGCCTTGGGGTGGCGACGGGGCTTGGTCTCGCCAGCGACCTCCTCGTAGCCAGGCGACTCGATGGTGAAGGGAGGCTTCCTCACCTGCTTCAGAGGCATGATACCTGTTGTGTAGGACATGGTGGCGGTAATGTTTGGTATATTCTAAGGGGTCAATTCGAGTCCTGAAGGATGTCTGTTGACAGTATTTGTTTCCGCCTAGCCGGTCTGAGTCTTCGCACAATCGTTGGGATGCGGGTTGATGACGTTGACCAGATCGGGAGGGGCGGAGTACGTGTGTGGAAAGAGGAGACGGACGAAGCTCGGAAGCTTGTTGCTGCACTGTCGACTAGGGTTGGGGCCGCCAGGTGAAAAGTGAAAGGCGGGATTGGGTATCGTAAGAGGATGGAGAGAAAATGAGAAGAAGGAGAGAAAAGGAGGAGAATGGATAAAAGCACCACGGTGATGGTTGAGCGGATAGATGACTTAAAGGGACGGCGAGGGCGCGACTTGGGGCTGGGGGAAGAGGAAAAGGACAGGCCTTGGGGACAGGAAGCTTTCCTCGTGGTGCGGATGTTTCTCCGAGGCAGCAGCTAATAAAACCAGGTGGAAGGGGGCATGCAACGGAAAATCGCCGAGACCCAGAGGCGAGCAGCCAACAAAAGTAGTGCGGTGGTGGTGGGGCAGGCACAGAAAGTCAGTGACCTCTCTTCGCGGCAACTCAACCCCCAAGAACCGGAAGTGGCGCCTGAGCAGGGGGCCAGGATGAGCAGGTCTAGTGGACGAAGCGCAAGGTCAGCGTCTGAGGGGAAACGCTGGCCACTCAATTGGTGGCCACGGCGACCGAAGAGTTTGACCTGAAAAGTGTACTTCCAAAGTACTTGCCTCCACAAGTCGTCGAGTACCTCGTACCGTAACCTTCTCCTCATGCCGCTGTCTTGGCTTGGCTTGGTTGATGGTGCTCCACGACATCCACGACACACCAGCACTCCACCACACTTGACCACACTCCGCAAGCACAAGTGAGAAAATAACGCCCAGAATGGATCCGCCTGTTGGAACTGGGCCAGGGCTTGACTGCTGGGGAAGATCCGTGGAACCAGGCCAGCCAGCACAGGGTCGCAGTTGGCACAAGTCAGACACTATTGGCCCCTCTCGCACATTGACGATGTTTCAACGGCGCCGTGACGTGAAGAGGGTATCAATTGATGGTAGCGTGAGAGAGGAACGTGGGCCAGGCCACGTTGAATGATGAATGAGGATCCAATCGATGCCGATACTTGCCAACCCGTAGGGGAGGAGAGGCGGCCTCGACGCCTCTTGGAATAAGAAGCAAAAGGGCTCATGCAATCAAATCTTTCGCCACAGATTGCCAGACTCTCTCCCGCCGGGCTGCCTTTGGTGTCCCATTTGCTTACTAATATTCGATCGCTTTTCCCAGGTTGCACTAGTGCTAATCTAGTTTCTTTGAGTTCAATCAAACACTATTTTACCCAGACACAGTTTTCGCTCGGGGGTGGATGATCACATTGATTTGGTGAGAGCCAAGGGGAGCAAGCTAGGTCCCCCAACTCGGCATTCCATGTTGTGTCTCACCGGGCCGCTCTCGTTGGCCAAACGCAGTCAGCTTTTTGTTGGAGGGCTGGGAATGAACAAGGCAGCAATTGGTGTAGATCAGCAAGAAGCAAGCACCTGGCCAGGTCGCTCAGCAACATCAGCCTTCGGAGTGATGACAGGCCAAGAGGGAAGAAAGAGTGGATAGGAGACAGCAGCCAAGCATCCCAAGCTCATCCATCTCGATTGGGGTAGTCGACAGACATTGAGGTAATACTAATAATCCTCAATCGATATCTCCCCAGGCCGACGGGGCTAGCGAGGATGGGATGGCAAGCATTGAACCGCATTCGGCCTCAAGGTTGCGACGCCCAGTGATTACAGCGTTCCTCTCGACGAGCGCCCTGCAGGAGCCAAGACCAACCACAAAGCTCAAGCACCTGAGCTCTCAAGTTCCCCAAGTTGCCGCCAGAGCTCAAACCTTCAATAGCTCTCTCTCTTGTTCGATGCTGCCGGAGCGGTCGCCGCCGCCGCCGCCAAAAGAATGAGGCATGCAAGCGAAGCTTTCCAGAGCTCACGGCCGTTTGTGAGTCCAAGCATCCTCGTCGACCTTCCTTGTCCGTCTTTTCCACGGGCGCAAACACAGATGAAACATATCTGTAGTCAAACGCATCAGCCCGTAACTCTATATTGATGAACACCTCGCAATACCTGTGATTTCCAGAGCTGCGCTGGTTCAAGCCCATCGATTGTGTTTCCCAAGGTGAATTGACGAACCGAACTCAAGAAACTAGGATCTTTCCAGGACAGTGCATGCTCCGCCACTGCCACCCTGACTTGGCATCCACCAGCACAAGTAACAGGGTACTTCCAGTGAAGATGCACCGAAGTACCTGTGCAGGAACACAGGTACCGAGGAGATTCCCCAGGTTTTCCTCCCACTTTGAAGCTTGATTGCTCCTTCCGTCAAGCACATGTAATTTCTTTCGCGGTCGCACTTTCCAAGAGGCAAGCGACAGTGAGACCCAGGGCAGGACCGAGCCGCGTGCGATCAAGGGACTTTTCTATCTCGTACAAGTATATTATTACATAGTCGAAAACAGGGGAAACAAGGACTTGGAGCAAGAGGATGAAGGAGTTCGGAGAAGAAGAGAGAAAAAAATAACAACCTCCGAAGATTACTCCAACCCCACACTGGGTCGTTTTGGCCAGAACCACCGTGGGTCTATTAACGAGGGAAGAGAACGGAGTTGGGGAGACTAGCGCCAACGCTTAAAGCTTTGGAGAATAGGCCAAAGGGTCAAATATTGTGCTACTACAAGAGGCAGCATCGACCCGAGTCTCCACAGTTTGACGATCGTTGCCCATCAATGTATCCAGACTGTGCTTCTTTGCCCATCGTCACATTTCAAGCCTCGCCGAGTGAGGGAAGAGTCTGAAGAGTTCCAGAAGGACAGCCCGCCCATCGTCCGGCATCAAATCCTCGAGTAAACCACAAACAACTGTCCTGCACGTGGACGGGTTCGTGGTGAGCCTTGAGCCACCTCTCCTCTCAACCACTCCGCCCCCGCCCCCAAGCAAGCGGTGGTTGTACCAGCTGAGTAGTGGACACGACGTGACAGGCCGTCTACCACACAGAGCTATAGTGCTGCCGCCAAGACTTTTGGCCATTGCTAGTGATCTCTGAACTTTGCTAGGCGCAATTTTACCCCTCGCATGCGATTGACAGGCGGAGGCAAAGCCTGCCCAGATTTTGGAGAGCATAGGTGGATAGATTGATCCGCCGGAAAACGACAATTTTGCTGTCGCTTCAGATCTCAGATCTCCGAATCGTTGGAGTTGTTATGTTCCCCCTTTCGGCTTATCAGAATGAGCGGGACCAACTTACTCAAAATATAACAGTCAACTTCTTGGAGCTCGGATCATGCATCACGGGTCGGTCCTAGCAACGCAAGGACTTGTCAGACCTGGTAATATTAACGGTTGCTTGTTCCTGCTGCTAACTAGTTCGAGAGCTTGCTAGCCCACTCCCCCTCGTTTCCTTTGCGGCTCTCGCTGCCATGAGCACCCATTATTCAACGTCGCTCCCGCCCGCCGCACCCGGGGCCCAGAAGGAGCTCAGGTCGAACACTCAATATCGGAGCTCTATTGCCTCTTTAGCAGGCCTTCCACTAACTGCTCAAAACAGATCACACCCACCAAAACGAGCATCTGCTGCCAAGAGTACTGGCGCTCAGCTTGCGACCCTTCCTTCGCAACCTCGTCCCCTCACTGCGTAATGTACGAAGTATCTTGGATGTCGCATCAATTTCCCAGACTCCTTCTCCCTCTCGACTTCCAGCGCTGCGTGCCCGCACATCCCAGGGCTCTCAAACAGGTAAGGTCAATCCTCGAGCGCCTGCCAAGCAGCACCATCGCCAGATTCAAATGCCCCTCCTGATATTTCCCCACAAGATGAACCCAATAGGCACAAGGGCAAAGGGCGGAAGCAGCAACGCTCCATTGCCCACCAGGCCATCCCACCTTGACACCCGCTCCCACAAACCCCAACATCATCTGCTTCGCATCCTAATCGAACCATCAACCATAATAACGGCAATCGCATGGTTTTCAAAGCTTGCAAGAAACTAGGCACGCTTACGCACGCGTTCCGCTAAACTTTAACTATGTCTGCGATCCGTTCTGGGGAAGAGAAGGGGTTTCGCGCTCGCACGTTTTTATCGCGCCCTACCAATAGTTAACTTGAGAACCCCTCCTAATGCCGGATTCGAAGGGGTGGAAACTTGAGGTCGCAAATATGAGCATCTGATCAAAAGCAGATGAGGATGAAAAGCCAACGATTATGGGATCTTCTTGGGACCATTGGGGCGTCTAGTCCCTTCTAAAGGATGCTAGTGTCTGTGCTGAGGGTTTGCAAAGTTCGCCTTGGCCCAGCATGCGCCAACCTCTCCCGCATCTTCACGCTACCCAAAATAACGACATAGGACAAACCACAAGAGCAGTCTCTCCCTTCCTGAAAGATCGTCTCGCAGCTCTTGGCTCCAAGTCAGATGACACCCCAACGACGGGCCAGTTGAGATGGTAGACTACATCATAGACACCTCCCCGGCCTCTACCTCTCCATAGTTTCCCATGTGGCACAAGGAGCCTCCATTCCTCTCTTTGAGTCCATTCACACAAGACACATGCAATTCTTCCAAAGGAGGCGTGAAACCCGGGACAAGCCTAGGTGTAATACATTGATCTAGTCTTCCGGCCTTTGAGGAGTGAGTTAAGGGCTTCGAGGGGAACATCCAAAGAAGGCAAGACTTTCCACGATTACGGTTGCACCTGTTAGTTAGCCAGTGCACTGGTCCGGCGCGCCACCAGAAATGATAGAAAGAAGCTTAAAATAGCCTGTCCTGGTGCTGACCTCGCGGTACGAATGTACCCACAGATGTACGCAATTCCCTTACCCGCTCACTAATACCTAAAGGGAGAAATGTCCGGAGAAGGGGAAGGGACGGGAATTAAAATTAACGCGAGAAGGAAGATCAAGTATTAGACGAGGGAAACAAAGAGAGAAAAAAGGACCCTTCCAACAGCACAAAGAAGCACAGGATTGTCGTGCTACCCGAGCTTTGTTAGCCGTCGTCAAAGGCACTCCCGAGGTTTGCTCTCTACTCGGCTTCATACCACTTACACGTGTCGCTGAACTTTTCAGATGCACGCTACCGCCAGCAAATTTTTTTTTATATTACCCTTTTGCTCTTCACCATTTTTGGTAGGATCCGTGCCGGGTAGCCTAGTCCACGGAAGGAAAGCTTGTGAAGCGAGGGTTAGACGGTAACGTCAAACGCATCTTTAGTCCATGGGACAGATAAGCAGTGGTCGTCTACTGGCAAGGAAAATGGCACGATGGCACGCGTGGTAGAAACCGTCTGATCTAGAGACAAGATCTAGACAAGGCCTCTAGAGCATTCCCCACGTTCTCACCCCGAGTGGGAAAGATCGATATCGTGAATCTTTTCCAAGACAGTTTCCATTCAGCTCCTTTCCACCGTTCTACTCTAGCATATGGTATGGGCCCCTCGCGTATTTTCCTTTGCTCCCCATTTATAACAAAAGAAAATTCACCATACAAGCCCGTGATGCTATTGACTTGCTCGCTTCGTCGTCGCCATCGACCGAGACATGAACCTTGCTACAACGCCGGTCGCCCTATAGTTTCATGGCCCGCGCTCTCCTCAAGCGCGGGTCCCTCCCTCCCTCCGTCCGTTGTTCCCGGGAGAGCTTGGCGGCAATGGGGGCGCCAGCAGACATCTCACGCCACTTTCCCTTTCCAGTGAGGAAAAATGGCTGGCCTACAAAAGTAAAAAGTGTAAGGGTAGAGGTGGTGAGAAGAAAGAAAAAAAGGTCCTCATCCCAAAACACTCAAGGGAGGAAACGATGCTAAGCAGCTGAAGCTGAGAAGAGGGAAAGGTCTCGAAGCCCGGGAGACCGCCACCAGGAGCGGCCGTGGCGCAAAGCCGCCCGCGGTTAACCGACAGCTTTTTTTCTTTCTGGAACTAGCAGAGGTGGGGGACCTTAAACCCTCCTTGGATATAAATAACATACTATTTGCACCCGTCGTCGGTGCGGCGAAACCAAATTTGTGGTTCCCCCAGTTTGTATCCATCTTCACATGTCAGGGAGGAGAAATTTGGACAAAACGGGAGAAAAAGGAACCAAGGCGCGGTTTTCTCTTTTTTTTTCTCCCCTTCGACAGTGAGAATAGATAGCTCTTATCCTATTAAACCCTCTTTGAATTCCCATTGGCGAATGGGGGAAGCTGATGTATTAGAGCTAGTAGGGCTCCAGCGGAAATAGCAACTAGGCGTGACAAGGGTTTATAAAAAAGGAGGAAACAAAAGAAGACCCGCATCATGAAGATGAAGATGACCCGTGCAAACGTGTAAAGATGGTACGCTGGAGCATATGCAATGAGACGAAACGAGGTCGGAAACACGGTCGTGGGCTGGCTCTCGAATGGGTATTCTTTTTCTCATCAACCGCGTCAAAACAAGAAAACACGAAGAACGAAGAAGAAAAGGGGAGACATAGAGAGGATAAAAAGAGAACACAAAAGCTTATCATGACGTTGACACCATTCTCCTCGTTGCATGCTTGACCACCACTTCTCTCCCTGACCTGGCTCAGAACCGCCCCCGGTCTTCTCCCCTTTACTCTCTAGGGAACCCAAGGAAACCCCAGAAAACCCGCCCGTTCGCGCTAGTGAAAAGGGCAAGGAAGCGAACAAAGAAAAGACGGATGAACGTGGGTGTGGTGTATTTACAGGCTGCCCGGAGTTCGTTGCGGCCTGGCCTCTGCGAACTCGGGCTGCGAGCGTAAGCCTCGTCTCTCGAGGATAAAAAGAAGAAAAGGAAAAAAATGTAAAGAGCAAGCTATGTGCCCCCACGCCCGCCACGTCCAATACAGGCCTCTCGTGTGCGACGACGCAGCGGCATCAGGCCTTTGCGCGTCCTCTCTAGGATCCGCCTATAATCCTCTTGCGCTGGTAGAATAGGAGGTACGGCACGGCAGAATCATCGGCATATATCTTGTCCTTCAACAACTTGGGCGTCATTTTGATCTGCTTCACCGCTTGGTCGTTGCAGTGGTACCAAGACCCGTCCGTCATCTTCTCCGTGCGAACATACGAGTAATAATGCCCACTGGTCATCTGGCGGCCTTGGTGTACGATGATGCCGTAGCACCGGTACTTGAACTCCTGGCCCCAACCAAAATCGTTCACCTTTTGCGCCCCAAAGCCCCGTTCGGTCTTGGGGAGGTAGTATGGCTCCATGTTGAGCTCCATCGGGAACTCAATTTTTGCATCACCTTGGTCCTGTTCATTCTGAACCGGTTGAGTTGGATGATGAGGATCTCGGGGAGCCGCGCGAGGAGCGTCCTGCGCGACACCGTGAGCGCCTTGCACGAGTCGCACTTGTAGTCCGGGACGGGCTGTGGGTCCGTAGAGTACGCGTCCTTTAGGAGTTGGTCGAGGGTGTTGAGCCCCGGGGTGACGGGGAGCGCAAGGATGATACTAGGCTCCATTGTAACCACTTCGTGCCTACAACTGCACCGGAGAGTATACTGCTCTAGCCCCTAAAGTACCTGTCGATGATGCTATCCGACTTGATCAAGAGATGCTTATTCCAAGCCTTGATCGCTTTTTCTTGTCCTGTCGGAGGGCTGTTTGATGTAGGGGTGGTGATGGTGGGATGGTTGCCGGCGGCGCCGCGCTGAGCAGGTTGGTTTCCGTATCCATATTCGTGAAGAGGAAATCCAGATACTCAGCCGTGTCCTGCTGGTCCCTAGAGTTTCCAAACTCGATCGGCCCGCCTTTGGTAAGATGCTCAGTGTATTCCTACAAGATGAAGGCGGTGATTAGCATCGCGTGGACTCTCCTCAGGAAATAGGGGGACGGTGAACGGCGAGTAGGCCTAGCGAAGAATGAAGAGTGTGATGGGGTCTTGCCGGAGGGCTGCATCCATGCCCCCAGCGAGGGAAAGAAGAAAATCCCGCCCCAAAAAAGAAAGGAAAAAGGGAAACAGATGGCGCAACTTACCATTAGTGTCCTCGCTCTCATGACCTGGAAGCATCCCGCATCCATCCACTGGAACAGGTTGGCCACGATATTCATCATGAGCTGCGGTTCCGAGGGCATCTGCCATTTGCTTCCGCGCCGCCACTCAACCAGCTCGCGGCCGAAGCCTGGCGTTACCCGAAGTACCTGCAGCATGCTATTGGCATAACACCAAACTCCCGAATTGTGAAGACCGGTAAAATGCTGGCCGTGAGAACCGCCCCTGCCGGCACCTGGAGCGGCGACTGGGGCTGGACCATCATAGTCGTGGCCGTGGCCCGGTCATCCTGAGGGCTTAGGCCGCTGTAACTAGGTCGAGGAATGGCCGGGGCAGGACGCGTTGGGGGACCGGAAGCTCGTCATACTTGGCCAACTGGTCATTTATGGACGAGGGAACGCGCGGAAGGCCATCGGGACCGGAAGGCGAACTCGACGTCATCGACTCCTGCTCCAGCAACACAGGCGGGAACCTTCGGAGGAAATCCTCAGTAGATCGGACAAAATTAGGCGATTGTTCCACATCCATGTCCTCCTTCCTGATGGTTTCTTCCCATTGCTTCACCTCATCCGGCCGCAGCGGCTTCACCTTGTACGTGGACAACCGCCTGGCGCCGAATGCCTTTGGCTTTGGTCCCGAGGCCCCTAGGCTCCATGACGGGACCCCAAGCGCTGCTGCGGACGTCTTACCGGACGCTAGAGTGCGGAGCGAGTTTGGGCCCATGAGATCGACCCAGGCATCTAAGCCTCCCTCAAGGAGTTTCGGTGCATTTCGTAGCTCTCGGTCGTAGTTTAGGTCAACGAGGGCCCTGTTCAGAGACACGAGAGCTTTTGAGCGTCTGAAGAAGGGACGTATGGGATCATTTTCGAGTCCTCATCGTAGAGGACAACCAGCTCGAACTTATCGCGACGCTCAAACGTCCTTTGCTCTTCGAGAGGGGCTAGAACGTTGCTCTCGCCAATATCTCCCGCCGAGATGTTCTCCCGAAGGAGAACCGACGGTTCGATACATATGGTGTGCTGGGAGAGAATGTGACCGCTTTCAAAATCTTCTCGAGATCGTACATCAATGAGTAAAATATCTCCGCTTCTGGACCGCATTAGGTCATATAGTTGTTCGGGGGTGATGGCTGGCGTCTCCGGAATCAGCATAGGAGGTTTCGACTCGACAGACCCCCGAGCGCTCCGGATGCCGTTCGTTGTTGACTGCTGCGCCAGCGATGTGACGGACCCATTACGCGGGCCGGTGATGGAAGTGCTTGAGCCTGTACGACTGAAAAGACCGCGGGGCGTGCTTGATGGCAGCTGGGCGTCCTCCGAGGTCACAGTACCTCTTGCCGGGCTATAAATGGCATCAGGGACTTTCGGAAGGCTTGGCACCGAGGTGTCAGCCGTGATCGCAGCGTTCCTGAGCGGCCGGGAAGACCCCCTCGGTGCAGGGGCGGGGGCGGAACGAGTGGATACGTCTTTATCCGCGGATCTTGTTGGGGAGGTTGAGGTTGAGTGGAGGGCGCCCTCAAGTTGGCGAAACGGGCATTCAAGTCGGCGGAGTCGGCTCTGCGATGGAGCGAATTGGATTGGATAGAGTTGCCGTGGAGGGCCTGCGGCTTCGGCTGCACAGCTGGTTTTTGTCTCGGCGGGGATGGAGGGGGTGGATGGTTAGGAGGAGGGGGCGGGGGAGGCGGACTCCGCGGCGATTCTGGTCTCGTAGCTCCCTTCTGAACCGGCTGCACGCCGGTCCTCTCATTGTCGGCCTTGATGTCTTCTTTGATTTTCTCGAACTTGGCGTCTGCAGTTCTGATTTTGTGTTGAAGCGCTTCATAAAGCCGGCCCTGCCCCCCTGTCTCGACGAAGAGAGACATACTCCTTGTGGTGCGGGATGATCTGAATCGCGATTATGTAGCCTCGTATGTATTCCTGGAGTGCAAGATCCGGCCGGTTGAACGTTACCCACGTATCGGCTTGGCGCATGCACCCATCCCCCGCTTCGAGAAGCTTCCGAATGGGGAGATTGGGGTCAACGCCAGCAGAAACCGAGGTCAGGTCGCTAATGTGCGGCAGAGGGCCCCTCGAGGAAGGCTGCCCTCCGCCGAGCTTGCCTCCGCCATAGCTGCCGGCGAAGCCGTTTGCACCATTGCTCGCCACGTACATGGGTCGCGGGGAGAGCTGATCGGTAGGCTCTCTGGAGCGATAGGGAGTATATTGGTCTGGGCGCGCTAGCCCTTGTGGCCACGGCGTGTTCTCGAGCCTTGGGGAATCAGCGCAAACGTGACGGGCTGGCGATGGAGTCACGGCTTAGGCTGTCACGGCGGGGTGGAAAAGGACGGTCGGTGGGGTTAGAGCTAATGAGAGATGGTGACGGCAGGTGTCAGGGAGGCGTCGAGAAGCGAGAGGTAGGGGAAGGGCATGCACGAGAGTCTAAGTATGAATTTGGTCGGGTAAAAGAAAGGTTGTCATTGCGGATGCGCGGCTCAGCGATTCGGGTCCCCGCCGTGTGTCGGCCTGGGTGGCCCTCTCTCCAAGGAGGGGAATGCGAAAGAACAAAGGATGTGTGGCAAGGAGGTAGGAACTAGAATGCGAGAATATTTAGCAGTGCCGAAAGCATCGGTGGCGGCGGAGGGAATGACGCGGAGATGGAGAGCATGGAGAGGTCGTTTCCGTCATGGACTGACTTTTGGTCACATTCTTGGGATTCGGCCAAGGGCGGATGAGGCACTCTGCTGCCGAGAGACGATGACGAGAATGCCGCAGTGTTGCAAGTCAGCGTTCTTGAAGAACCGCTGTTCCATTTCTGGGTTGCAAAAGCACATTGGCTGGACCAAGGCGGGATCCAGAGCCTCCCACGCCCACCCAAGCCCACTCAAGCCCACTCACACTGACCCTGAGGGAGGGGTGGCCAGCCCGGTGGCCCCTTCCTGGCCCCTTCCCTGGCCCCTTCTCTCATCAATCAATTGATGCCAGCGCCAATGTGGAGCGGGTTGAGGGGGCGCTGGCTTGGGGAATTGGTCATCTTTGGGCCCTTGTAGTGGGTTTCAAGGTATATTAATCGAGTGTTTCAGTACCTTTAGATTCCGCTGGCCAACTCAGAGTAGGGTCAATGAGGAATGAATGAACCAAACATAGAAAACACCCCGCAATTGATTCTCTTCAAATCAATCCAGAATCTATGGGATCCAGCACAGGATTTGTCAATGCCCCAGCCCAGTCGAGCCCCAGTCGAAGCCCCAAAGCCCGCTTCATTCAAGCTTGTGCAAAACGTGAGAGTACCTAATCATTTGGTTGATTCGAGAGCCAGCGCCGCAGCAAACACTGAGGGGCAAACAAAAACTTGGAAGCATCAGCCAGATGGATTTCCAGGGTGCACATCTCCCGTCGTCCTGTCGCATTCACAGCAGTGGATAGTATCGGGATTAATCCAGAAATATACTCCTTTCGCTCATTAGAAATGATGGCAATATTCACCTCAATAATGACATCGAACTGCTCGGGATGGTATTCATCTATTGTTAACTGGTGCCATGGGCCATGTGTGTCGACGGGATGGAGTTTCGAAGTGGACATGTTTGGCGCCTCGATCAACTAGCTTGATGCAGATGAAAACTTGGGGATTAAAAGCGTTCGAGTACTTGTACGAGCTCAAGGCAGCCATATTCCGAACCAGCCTCGAACTTGACCAGACCTTATTGTGCTACAAGTATAGAGGAGTGGGTACCCTAGTGTCGCTAAACCCCATCAATCGGATGCTCAAGTCTATTCAATGGTATCGAGTGCGGATAGACCTAGAGAGCATTAGATGAGCGAGGGAAAAGGAACCCTGAAATCAATGATACCCATCCCAGCTGATTTCGTCGAGGCCGCACAACCCGAGATCTCATCCATTCATCGCTGAGGTCCTGCATTTCAAATGCGAGCTCTTTGGCAGGCCCTGGTTCAGTGGCTGTTTCCCGCTCAATGTAGAGGCATGTAGAGTCATGGGTCATTGACCATCGATGGCAAATGGATCCAGTCGGGAGGCGAAGATGGCGGGGAAGGAACATTGAAGTTGGGTACAGCACACTGCCCGCTTGCCCGCTTGCCCGCTTGGCAGCCCTTGATGGGAAGGTACTTCAGGTGGAGCGGGTGTACCAAGTACCTCTGGAGTTGCCTGAGCGTCCGCCGCCAAACTAAGCTGCACGTGCAGAAACCAGCCAGATGAACAACGTCAGCTCCCCAGTCGCCATCACCACCACCATCACGAAACCAACTCCAAGGCTACCACTTTTGTTCCATCAGCTTTTCCGCCACAGCCTGGCAGACAGTCCTCCATATTGCAGCCTGTGAACTGCCTAGATTCCCTCTCCTAATTTCTTTTCTCCGTTTTTGCGTTTCCGCCTTGCCAAGAATTTGTTTGCCCTTGCTGTTTACCACCCGCTGTGTCACTGTCCATCTCAAGCCATCCGGGCATCGCCATCATTTCCCGGCTCCCCTCCCACCTCCATATTCCCGCTCCCCACCTATCAACCTCACACTCGCACCTCTTCCAGTCCACCTAGAAAGCATGATGAGCTGGTGGTCATCATCGGCCAATACGGCCCTGGACGAGCAAATCGACAAGGCGACTAGTAGTAGCTTGTAAGGAGCTCCCCTCATCGGCAACCTTGGACGGCCTGATCACTAACGCACAGCACTCTGCAGGAGGACATCGCACTCAATCTCGAAATTTCCGATGTTATCCGATCGAAGACGGTTCAACCCCTAGAGGCTATGAGGTCCCTCAAAAGCGTATTGGCAACAAAATCCCAACGTCCAGCTTAGCGCGCTTAACGTAAGTTCCTCGCGCTTCCCCCGGCCGGCCTCTAGGAAGCGCTTTGCCTTTGCTAACCCTAACTTTTGGGGGCGCCCGACATAGCTTACAGATACCTGCGTCAAAAACGGGGAGACCACTTCTTGAAGGAAATCGCATCGCGCGAGTTTATGGACAACTTAACATCCCTCCTACAAGCTGTGGGACCCGCAGCCGTTAACCTTGAGGTCCGAGAACAGATTCTCGAACACATCCAGGCCTGGGCGACCGCTACCGAAGGACGACACGAGCTATCCTATATTAACCAAGTGTATAATACCATGAAGAGAGAAGGCTATCAGTTTCCTCCCAAGATTACCATCTCTAGCAATATGATCGACTCGAGCGCCGTAAGACACCCCCGACCCCCTCCCTTCCCCATAGCACCCTTGCGCACCATACACTAACTTGTTGTTTCGCGGGACCACAGCCACCCGAGTGGATCGATTCTGATGTATGCATGCGATGCCGTACCGCCTTTACCTTCACCAACCGCAAGCACCACTGCCGCAACTGCGGTAACTGCTTCGATCAACAGTGCTCGACCAAGACCATACCCCTCCCTCATCTTGGCATCAAAACGCCTGTTCGGGTTGACGATGGGTGTTATGCGAAGCTTACGACCAAGTCCTCGGTAGACCGGGCTCCGACATACCCGCATAAGACCCGAAGCACATCCGCCATGCAGCCGAGGAGCGCTCGCGTAGACGAAGTCATTGACGACGATCTTCGACGAGCTTTAGAGATGAGCTTGGAAGAAGTGAAGAGTTATTCTCGAGGTTATGTCGACTCCAGCCAAAAGGCATCGTCTACGGCCAAGGTCAACGGGCACTTTGACGCCTCCAAGTCGGCCCCTGAAGAGGAAGAGGACGATGACCTGAAAAGGGCGATTGCGGCGTCGCTCGCCGATATGGAGGAGCAGAAACAAAAACATTCTGCTGCTTTAAAGCAACAAACACACGGCCCTGCCACTACGTCTTCCGTGCCTCTGACGCTCCCCAAGAATGATTATGAGCTTACTCCCATCGAGGCGGAGAATATCAATTTGTTTGCGACCTTGGTGGACCGGCTACAGACCCAGCCTCCCGGAACGATCCTAAGGGAACCTCAGATCCAGGAGCTATACGATAGCATTGGTGCGTTACGGCCAAAGCTAGCACGTACCTACGGAGAGACAATGAGCAAGCATGGTAAGAATCTATCTGTTCCCGTTCCCCACTGATTGAGCTCGGAAGCAACAAGGTCGACTAACGCACGAGGTGGTAGATACCCTGCTGGACCTTCATGCGAAGTTGTCTACCGTGGTTCGATATTATGACAGAATGCTTGAGGAGCGTCTTTCCAAGGCCTATGGACAGCATACCCTCGGCGGGTACAACCCTGGCCCCCACGACAATCCGCTGGACCGTATCCCACCCTTCATACCAGCGGCCCTAACGTGCCAGGGCCAGCCGAGAACTTTACACGGGGAGCAGCGCCAGGATTACGGGCGCGCGCCAGCGCCAGCACATCACTATCCCCCGCAACCGCCTTCACAACCCGCGTACCCCGTCCCCAGCCATGTTCAGCCGTCGTATCCGCCTCAGAGGAGTGATAGCTGGCAGGCACCCGCTCCTTCGGGCCCACCCGGCCCGGAGGGCAGTATTCGCAGCAGCAACAACCGCAACAGCCCCAATACCCTCCGGTCGATGCGCAATCGAGACACCCCAGCATCCCTAGCCAGCCGACCCCGTCACCCTCCGCCCCTCCCAATGTACCAGACACAACCTACTATTATCAACAACAACCACCCACCCAACAACCTGGCCAACCCGTCCCATCTCTTGCGCCGGCATCCGACGCCACTCAGTCACCCTATCCCACGCTACACCAACCATCCCAACCGTACCAGCCGACTCCCCAGCCAGCTCCCTCTCAGCCCAGCCAGCCCGTCCAGTCGCCCCAACAAACACCCCAGATCCCACACCAACAACCGCCCCCACAACAGAACCCTTACTGGCAGCCTTCGGTACCACAACAGCAGAACCAACACCAGCCCCTCTTCAAACGCAGGCAGCGCCTCCCTTCAGCAATGGCAACAACCTCCTCAAGCGCATGGATATGGAGGGTATCCCCAAGAGCCTCCGAAGCAGCAGCAACCTGTCGTAGAAGAGAGCTTGATAGAATTGTAAATCAGCGGAGAATGAGGATGGTTGTCCACTGCTGACGATGGAGCACACTAGTACGGAAGCTAGGGTTGACAGAGGTTTAGACGCTAGGGAGTAGGGGACGGTGGCGGGCTTTGCAAGACTTTGATTCCTGGTTTCCTTATCCCCCACCCCCGAAGCTGATGATATGGGGGAAAATGTATTTTAGAAGCATGCAAGTATGAGCTGGAACGGCCTATCGGGCTTTCCGTATACCTCCGAGGGCTTTCTTCCTTTTTTATTTCTTGTCTGTCACGATTTCATGATTCCGAGTTCAGAAGTGGTCAATGTCTGGTTCTTAATGCTTCATGGTGATGCGGGAAACCAGTTTGAGATATCCCAACCCTCATTCGCCCCGTTTGCAGCTCCATGCTTAGACTCCGACCCTCTAGTACGAGTCTCTGTTTCAAAGTCATGTGTGCCTAACAGGCCCATGGGCTTTTCTCTCTTCTTCCGAGGAGTTCCTACGTCTCTCGCGCCCACTAAGCTGTGCGTACGGGTTAGCTGGGGAGGGGTGAGCGTTGGCCGGTGTGACCTTGGAACAAGACCGTGGCTCCAACAACCTGGCTCTCGAGAAATAGCGGTTGCATGGAAACCTTCCTAACGAGGTTTCTTTTTTCATGACGATTGCTTCTTTTTCTACCAACGAACGTCGATTAATCTACCCAAAATAGGAAAAAAACACCCAAAGGAAGGAAGAGGGTAGAATAGCTGAGGAAAAGAAGGGAAAAGAAGGGATGAACACCAGCAGCCTCCCCTCACCTAGATGTTTGGAACTTCGCCGCCATGGGGCTCGAGGGCATACAGCAAACGGGATACCGGAGAGAAGAGCAGGGAGGGAGGTGGTGAAAGGGGGACGGGAAATATGGCAAAAGAGAAGAAGCACAAGATGAACAAGCGCGCCAAAAGAGAGGGACACAATAGTACAATGGGGGATATGAAAAGGGGGCTAGACATAGGTTCGTCGAGATATTTGTTTGGAGGGAGGGAGGCGTATTTCCGACCTAGGAAAAAAATTGATACCACACATACACACGCAGGGTCAAGGCCAAGGCTGAACAAGAAGGGGAATACAACATACAAGAGCAGCACCGCCCTCAACCGACAGGTCACCACATAAGAGAAGAAAAGAGTAGCCTAGTGTAGCCAAGTGTAGGACTCATGAAGCCTTCGATAAAGATGGGGAGCAGGAGGGAGGAATGACGACGAGGATAATAGGAGACAGGCTCTAGAATCACCTGCTCTGAGTAGGTGGAGGGAAGAGTGAATGAGACGGCGTTGATACTTGTAGAATAGGCCGAGCAGTCAAAGCCCGGTAGAACAAGATACAAAAAGCAATAACAGGTAAATCGCTAGTGAGCCATCCTATCCTAAGATTTTGATTCTTTCATGACTACCCGTGAGCGGGGTTGAACCAAGAGTCCCGCGGAACATAATTAGGAGGTGAAACGGTTGAAAATAAATAAAGACAAGATGGGAGGATGATCGAGGGGTTGAGGGGAAAAAACCAAAAAACAAAATGAGGTTATCCATTGTTCCGTGTCGTTGCCTTGATGCCGTCATGAAGCCCGTCTCGGTTCGCTCCCCTTCTCCCTCCGTCACCTCAACTCCACCTTAGTCCGGGTATCCATGAATGCCGGGTGCACGACGACAACGCCGTTCAAGCTCGTCGCCACATGGACGGCTCTGAATGATTCGAGGGTATGTGAATGAAAAGCAAGAACCTCGCGTGTCGAATCGTGCATCGACCCCGCCGCGCAAAGGGCTTAAAAAAGAAATAAGGGGCACGAGGGAACTTCGTGGCTAATGCTCCTTTATACGCCAGACGAGACACATGCTAACACACGGTTATTCGTCTCCTCTACCCCAAATCAGATTGCGCGTGATGGCTCGCTCCGCTAGCGGTCAGCCGCAATGCCGGTCGAACTGCAACAGGTCGAACCCGTCCACCGAATTTAAGACGGTCTTGGACTCACTCCTGCCGCGTCACATCTCTCATTCCAGAAACCCGCCACTCCTTTCTAGACTCCGCGATGCTATGTTCCTCTGGAATATGGTGCTTCTCTTAGGCATGTGACGCTGGTCTCCAAGTGTTCGCGCCGCCATTTTTTTCTTTTTCGGTTCGGCTCGGACGTGCCTGCGGCAGCGATGGTGTAAAACTGAAACTCGTACTCGAATTTTGTCTAAGTTAGGACAAGGCGATGCCGCTCTACTGTCCACCTTTCCTAGCCTTCTCTTGCGCGCGCGCCTCACGAGCCGCTTTAACAAGAGGTGCAAGGTGCTTCAAATCAACGCATTGCTTCATAAAGTCATGCTAGAAGGGCGGGTTAGTATCTAGATACGGTACTGTTCACGTGAGAAGAGATCTCACTTACCCTTAACAGATCATTAGCGCTGGCACGCCTTTCGGGATCAACTTTGAGAGCCCAGTAGAGGAAGTCCCTGAACACTTCTGTCAGGTTTTGCTCGTCCTTAATTTGTGGTGTTCCGTTAGTAGCGATAAGCCACAGTGCGCGGAGGGGCGATTCTGTAAGATACGGCGGTTCGCCCTCAATCATTTCGATGGCCATGATACCAAGCGACCAGATGTCAACCTTTGGCCCGTATTCCTTTCGCGTCACCACCTCGGGCGCCATCCAATAGGGTGTGCCGACCATCGTCGTCCGCTTGTTTTGCCCATCGTTGATAGTGGCACAAAATCCGAAATCAGCTGTGAGGTACCTGTTAGTCCATCTACATACAAGGGAAAAAGTGGGGCTAAAAGTGTGGTTGAAAAATTGAGACTGGAGGAGAAAAGAGAAGAAAAACCTGACGTCCCAAGATGGCGTCATCAGGCCCAAAGACCAGAGTGCTACGCGACGCTGTGTAGCGAGATTCGTGCGGGTAGAGTACAAAGAAACCATAAGGGGATACGCACTCAGCTTGATATTTCCTTCCATGGAAAGAAGAATATTGTCCGACTTGATATCTCGGTGAATGACGCCCTTCGAGTGCAAGTGTAGGAGTCCCTTGAGTGTCTCGCGGCAGACGGAGGCAATCATGCCTTCTGTCATGATGTTGAACGTTACAACATCTGTCAGGCTGCCACCTTCCATGAATTCCATGACGACCCAGAGCTCACCGCCGCAAAGGTAGCTGTTGATGAAGTTGACAATGTTGGGATGAGAGCTATCCTTCATAACCAGAATTTCATTGATGATAAGGTCCTTCTTCGGTTGTTGCTCTAGATTCATCTGCTTGATTGCAACAAGTCGATTGGTCCCCCTCTCGTGACCGGTGTAGACCCCGCCGGATGCGCCCTGTCCAATCTTATTGAATCCCCTGTAGATATCCCGGGGATCATCGTCTGAGCAAATGCGCTTGAGCGCCGCGATAACGTCGATTCCACTGCTCTGCTTAGGGCGTTGCCGAGGACGCGCCGCGGGGGCTGGGCTCCGCTGGGTCCTTGCGGAGGGCGCATCTGTGTCGCCGGATCCGGCATTCGACCGTACTGGTGCTGTGACGTGGGAGGGGTAGGCTGCTGAGGAGCGGGTTGGCGTTTACTGGGCGCGCGTCCGATTTGCCCGGCTGATATAGCCTGGGCCTGAGCCAAGGCTTGTTCATGCTGCTGCTGAAGGAGCTGCTGTTGGTAAGTCGCAGCTTGAGGGTTTTGTACCTGGGCCTGTTGTGGACCGGGGCCCTGAGGTGCATAGGGTGAAGTGCCGTTGACACGCGAGTTCGACCGAGAGCGATGCTCCTCTGGGAGCATGGGCACATTCTCCTTCGGTGGGACGTAGGATACCGGAGAGAGAACATCGCCCGTCTGCGACATTCCGATTCCGGAATCCTTTGTTGCGTATTGCGACTGGCCCGTGGCCCTCGGCTGTAGGGTGCTCGGCGGCTTTGGTGCTGGCCGGGTAGGGACAAGATTCGGGTCTTTGGCCGGAGGCACGGGGCCGGCGCCCTTCATCGGCACAGGAGGGGGCGCCCGCGGATTTTCAAAACTTCCTTCATGATTGACTGTGGGAAATCTGGGGCTCGCGGGAGGGCTAAGCATAGGGGACATGCCCAGGTAAGTTTGTTGCGGGAAGTGTGATGGGGATAACGCATGGCCACCAGGAGCCCCGCCATTGTACTGGCGCATTTCTGGTGATGCGGCAACATAGTGGAACTTCTCAAGTACTTGGTCCTCCTTTGGCTTTTCTGTGGTTTCCTTGTAAAACTGGAGAATGTTTACCATAGTCTGAGGGTTTGCCTGCCTCTCCTTTTCGGAAATTCCGCTCTCGTTGATTAATCTTTGCCACGCTTTTGGTAGACCCTGGGATCAAAGAGAAGTCACTAGTTAGCAAATGAAGTGGTTCTAATATCGCCCGACACATGTTCCCCTGCCGACGACGAGAGCGCACCCATTCATTCGCCTCAACCGAAACAAAAAAGCAAAATAGAGGAGAGGGCGGGGAGAAATGAGTCTATGCCAAACTCCAACCTTGTGCAAAGAAAGCGAAATGAATTACTTACGGTGAACTGGCCGGTATTGCTATCATAATCCACGTGGGTGACATGGACGGGGTTCTCGGGTGCGGAGATGACGGGCTTCTTGGGCGATCCGACGAGGCCACTGACAAAGCCCGAGAAGCCAGACTTCTTCCTCAGGACTGCCACCCTCGGTTCTTTGGCCTCGTCCGAGAAGCGCTTCGAACTGGAAACCTCCACCACTTTGGCGTCTTGCGGTTTTTCCGCCATGGAAGAGTCTGACGACATGAATGTCGCCGAGTGGGGGACGGTCGGGCTCATGACGAGAGTGTCTGTATTTGATTTCGTCAAAGGAGGCGGAAATATAGGCTTGTTCGTGGAAGGAAGGGAAGCTTCGAAGCGTCGAGGCGATTGAGGATGGCCGCACCGTCAAAGGGAGCGCCGATAAAGTCGTCAGCGGCGGTGGCGTGAAGGAGGGGTTGGGAGTTCTGCGGATCCGACAGTCGACCACCGTTTCGAGGTGGAGCGGGCGCGGCCGCGGTGGGTGGAATGGGATGGTGCTGGAAAGACGACGGGAACTCGGACGAGGCGAGAAGAGGGGATGGGTTCGATCGTAACAAGGACGAGGGATGCTTGGGGGACGAGTTGCTTGACGCGTTGGGATTAGCCCTCGCGGGCGGAGCGCTTGGGGTGCGCTTTAGACTTTGGGAACTGCGTTTACTCTGGAGCGACAGGCTGTCAAAACCAAAGCCTACATCGACGCCGGATGAAGATCGGGTGTGGTGATGTGAAGGAGGTTTCTTTGTGAGTCGTCGACGATGGGAATTGCCGTTTAGATTAGTGTTGGAACTATCCATGATCCATCCAAGTTTCCGCAGGGAGTGGAGAGGGAAAAGTGAGGGAGCCCTGGGTCTCTGAAGTGGGTTACAGTGGCGGCGGCAGCAACAGCAGCGGTAGCAGTGACAGCGTTGGCGGGCGCGAGACGAGGTCGCAAAGCAGGGGAGCAAGTTTTTAATGCAGTGGCTCTAAGTGCGCACTATGGGAAGTAGTGTACTGTTTAAGGTGTGGAGGTGCGCCAACTTGCCAGACGTGGGTCGGAAGAGGGGGATGATTGACACAATGTCGGGTTGTGATATTGGCCAGGAAGCCAGCGACACGTTTGAATATGTGAGTACTTCTGTCTGGGGAAAGTGGCCCTGGTGCACCTTGTTCCGTTTTCGTGCAGGGTGAAAATCGAGCCCTTGGTCAAGGAAAGGGCGAATCGAGGTTTGCTTGCCGCAGGGTGTTGATTTGACTGGCAAGTGCAGCCAGAGGAGGGTGTTTCCTTGGGTAGTGAAATTATTGTACCACTGTCGCAGAGTACATGGTACGGCGGGTACTAGTACAATATAGTGATGGACTGGATGGCGGGTCCAAGTTAATCAGTCGAGACTTGGGACCGCCTGTGTTGTGACGGGGTGGGGGAGGGGAAACAACCTAAGGAGGGGAGGGGGAAGGTAGTGGCGACGTCGACGGGTGTGGTATTATGTGGAGGCGGACGTGGGGAACCCAAAGAAAAAAAAAGAAGAAAAAGAAAAAGAAGAAGAAAAAAAGGAAAAAAGGCGGGAAAAAAGAAAGGGAGGAAAAACGGAAAGGAACGGAGGAAACCAGGGTGTTTAGTTAAGGGCCGTGAGGCACCAGACCAAGAAATTAGAAGTGATCTAGTGTGGAGACAGGGCAGCAAGGAGAATGAAGATCAAGCTATGGTCTTCCAAGTCCATCCAAGGTTTGTGTCTATCTTGATGTTGAAGATTTGAGGTTGAGAGATTAGGGCGAGGCGAGCTGGGCTGAGCTGGGCTGAGCTGGATGAGGGAGGACTGGGAAGAGGAAACAGGTAAAGAAACCGGGAGAGAGACAGAGGAAGAAATGTCTCGAGATGATGTTTAATGCCCTGGTCTGAACACGCGCGGTGGGGTCTCAAAAGAGGAAACTCAATTGAGAGGGAAAACGCGCGACGGCAACTTGGCTTGGATGAGCAGAGCCAACGTCAGCGAAGGTGTCGCAGTCGAGCACGGGGGTATTCACCAAGAGTTTGGTACTCGATACCTTGAGAGTGATCAATGATGGGACCAGGGGAGATGAAGAGAAAAATGGAGCAATATCTCGAGACAAGGCTTGGGGTGAGTGATATTTTATTGAGATGTATTCCCAAAGTTGATTGATTAGACGTTGTGGATGGGTGTGATGCGTTTGGATGGAGCCCCAAGAGCATCGCACGTATTGATCCAATGCGTCTCCAATGTGTGGAAACGGTGCTGGGATCTATTATGAAGTATGGTTGATCCCACGCCGTTCACTGGCTGGCGACCAGGACGGCGTGAAGTACTTGCTGCTCAGAGAAGAGGGCAGGAGTGATCACGGCCAAGGTGTGGTACGGTCCACGGGAAGAATTTGCGGAGAGCGCAAATGAAGATTCAACACGCTGATGAACAGCCGGAGGAAAGACCGAACACCTAAAGGCCCTGGTAGTCTCCATCCCTCTTTCCCCCAGCCATGGAAAGCCGTCAACACCTTCCTTGACCATCTCCAGCAGGAAACTCGAGCGACCCCAGTCATACGAGTCCTGCCCGCACTTCGCCTCCCATCGTGCCTTCTTCGCCGAATAAGTACTAATGTGAGATTTGGAGGACCCATAGCACCATAGGTCTGCGCCTTCTTGAAGGAATTAGACAATGTACACGCATAAACCCATTTGGTTCGTTTGCCAGACGAGCGCCTTGGATTGGCAGTTGATATGCGTGGCTTCCTGTCCGGTTATCTCCCACGGACCGGTGCCCCGTCCGTTCACCTCGATGGGGTCTGCGTACCCTTCATTTTTACCGTTTCGTTTTTTTCTTGTTCATTGATCATTGCCCTCATTATCCTTCCACGCTAGTTGCTGCCAGTGTCGAGGCTGCTGGGTTGTCAGCATCAGGCCTAGGTGTACCGAGGTAGGTCCCCCAAACCACGAACGAGCCCGAACACATTGATATCCCTGCCAACGTCGTCGGGAAGCTCAGCACTGTATAATGGAGGCCGCGCGCCGTGCCGCAAGCGTCCAAAAATTTGAAGGCCTCGAGATGTCTTGACGAAAAGGGCGGGGGAAAGCGTTGTGACGGCCGTCATTGCTTGTCGCGCCCATGGCGTGGCACTTCGGGGCCTCTGATTCTAAGCCAGCCCGCAATGATATATTACTTGGGTCGCGCGTCATCGCCAGGAGCTGGATGATGCTCGAGCTTGTGTGCGGTGGTGGTGCTGCTTTTAGCGCGCCGGCATGTTTCAACTGGAGCTTGGACTAGCCAGGATCCATCCCTGTCAGTCTGAACAGGTAATCCTCTATTATTACGACGGGGAACCTGTTTCTGATGGGCAGCGCAGTGAGTCGGTGGAAATGAAGATAACCCACTCCATTCTGCTTGTCTAAGGCCAGTTCATGGAGAAGGGGAGAAAAAAGAAAAGAAAGGGTAAAGACTATCCAATTATCGTTCTCCAGAGGAGCGCAACTACGAGATGGAACCAGAGAAAGAATAGGCCCAATTGAGCCCCCGGGAATTCCATTTCCAACTGAACATGACACTTTTTGACATTTGTGAAGAGAGCACAGGTCGCCGTGGCTCACAAAAGGCTATGGCTAGATCGCAGCAACCCTTGTCTAGCACAGGGCGACCGGCCCGTTTGGAAGCCCTCCAATTTCACGGTTGTATACAGCGGCTGTGGCATGATCGTTTTGGATTGTCGACTGAAAGCTGCACCAGCCAAAGTCGAGACTAGTGCAGAAACAAGCGAACCACATCAATTCCTGAAGTGAGTGAGCAACGGCCCAACGGAGGCTGACTCGCTGCCAGAGATCGTTCTCGCATTTCCGAACATGTGAATCCATCGAGACCGAGCTGGTGTGCTAGAATTATCCCTCTTTGGCAAAAGATTCCCACGTGTATTCTTTACCCCGTTTTTCTTTTTCTTTCTTTTTTCCCGTCTCTTTCTCTTACCCTGTTCCTTTTGCCCCTGTCCCTTCTTTTTTTTTTTCTTTTTTTTTTTTTCCGCTTCTCACCCAAACTGTTTCCCTTTCGGAAAAGGTAGCCCCAGCAGTCCAAGTCCATGGGTGAAACGGCTCCTTGCACGATACAGGCCAGCACTTCACCAAAAGGATTCCTGGCTCAGGGTCCTGCTGCCCGAAAGTCTGGCCAACCCACATCAGCGTATAAACGGTTCGTCCAGATCTATTGCCAACGCGGTCGGCGGCGGTTACGGCCAGCTTTTCTGCCAACGTCCACCACAGCACATTGTCGGGGCCCACTACAAGCCGGGCAGCGCTTTTAATGCGACGTTGCAGGAAGCAAAGAGGTACCGAAACCAGGCAAGCATGGGGCTTCTTTTGGCCAGTCGAGAAGGAGGACTTCTCTTCTCTCTAAAACTTGACCCCTCAGATCGCCCAGCTGGAGGCTCCAACCTCAAGACACCGAATTGGTGATTGGTTCCCCCTTCACCTTTGGTGTCGCAAGGTAGGTAGGAGCCACCAATTCTGGAAAAGAAGGACGGGCAAACCCCCATCCCTGGTTGCGACCTCTTCCAGCTTGAAACCTTTCCAGGGTTGGGCGGTTCGTGGCAAATTATAATGCTTGTACTTGCCATACCTTGGTGCAGCCAGTTGGAAGGGAGGGGAGAAAGGCCATTGGCAGGCCTCTTTTCAAGATTTCGAGGTTGCTTGAGTTGGTGTACTATCAAGACGGCCCACCCTCAAAGAAACCCCAATTTTTGTCCGAACCAGGGGTCCTAAGATGAAGAACATGAGAGGAATGGCCCGGGTTATTGATTGACAAGCCCCTCCATCGCCAGATTTTGCTGCTGATTTAGCCATGTCGGTCATTTGCGGTGATAAACCCAACCAACGAGCAGCGGACTCAGGACGGCACTAGCACGTAGCGTCCATCCCATCGTAAACGAGCGGGAGCTTGTGCGAGCTTTCTAGAACGGCTCCCATGGCTCCCATGGTTCTGAATGAGGTTGTCCGAAACGGTTCGTACTGTATCATCGGTATCACTACCCTGTCCTCTCAAGAAAGGAACAAAAGTCTTTCGCTTTCGCGGACGAAGAGGGTTGCTTGTAATTAGAATTTTCCCAGTTAAGACGCCGACATAAACAATTATCCGGGTCCGATAATTGCGTTCTCTGGGGTTTCGCACGAGCCCCGATATGTATCATCCCTGAGCCCGGGCTTGGTTCACGACACTCCCCACCTCGTTACCAAGGTTCCAAGGCTCGACCAAGTCCTGTTTGAACTGGGACAGACACTTTGACATCAG